AGAAACTGTGCGTACAAAACAGAACAAAAGATTAAATTAAGCATTTAAAATATATTATTTATCATAGATTACAATACTGTATAAATTTTTACTTATTTTTTTAAAATTTAAATATAATATTATTTGTTGGAATTTTCATGGAAACTAAAATTGTTTTTAAAGTTTTAATTTTGTTACGTAATTTTTAACGATTTTTTAAATACCTAAAATGGCGACTTACATACAGAGTTAAGAGCTGCTGTTATTAATTGTATTTTGTGACTTGAAGTCTCCGTGCACCTGCAGATAGGACTATTTTGAAAATGAAGCTAGTAAGATACTGAAATATATAAAATTACCATGCAGTAATAGAGCACTAAACTACGAGACAAGACAGTGCCGAATAAAATACTCCTTTTTTAGAATCTGCCTGATATAGTGAAATAGATATCTAGCGCAGAGTATGAGTAAACAGTAAACATCACAATCACATCTTCAGTGTCTTCTAGGGCGGCTAGTGAAGTTTTATATAATGGGTTATTACTTATGAATCCTTCACAGCTGGAAAGAGATTAGAATTTGCAATCCAACGATACCTCTGTGAAGTCTGAAAGTCAGTTCTTGATTTCTAAGTGGACATATTAACATTTTTGTTGGCGGATATCAGTTAGCTTATATAATAATAGTATTTTAGTAACAATAACATGAGGCAAATTGGCTCTCCTAGCAGATTTGGCCGGCAAGTAGGTCGGCTTCGGTCGGCGTAGTGGGAGTTCTTTCCCTTGGCCGCACTCACCACAACGAGCGGAAAAAGTCACGACTCAAACACGACAGTGAGGTCGACATCAGGGCTGCCAATGCTTGGTTGTGTCCCCCAGATCTGGGTTTTTCTTTTGAAGCTGCGGGAAAATCTGGGGTTTTTTTTTTCTGTGTGTCTGTCTGTGGGTGTTTTGCCGATCTGTAAGCTTTAATGACCAATAAATTTGCGTGGTTAGGGGTTGGGTTAGGGTTAGCGGTAGGATTAGGGTTTGGGGTAGGGTTAGGGGTAGCGTTAGGGTTAGGGGTAGCGTTAGGGTTACGGTTAGGGTTAGAGATAGGGTTAGGGGTAGGGTTAGGTGTAGCGTTAGATGTGACAATTGTGACGCCGTAGCTCCCTATAATCGCCCACAGTCGTATGCACGCGCAAACAGTCGACGGACGGTGGATGCTACTGACACGGACAATTTGCCACCGATTGGGCACCAGCCGCGCGCTATTGCCGTCATATTTGCCACACGTCCAGTGGCGCCACTCCCACAAACATCAGATTGTCGGCCAGTATTTCGACTTCTTACGTAAAAATTTTCACATCTAACCCTAACCCTAACCCCTAACCCTAACCCTACCGCTAACCCTAATCCCTAACCCTACCCCTAACCCAAGCCCTAACCCTAACCCAAACCCCTAACCCTACCGCTAACCCAAACCCTAAGCAACCCTACACGCAACCGTAGGACGATGATAGACACCCTACGCAGCCCTACATGCAACTGCATGATGATGATAGACACCCTACGCAGCCCTACGCGGAACCGTAGGATGATAGGTAACCCTAGACGCAACCGTACGCAACCCTACACGCACCCGGATGATGGTAGGTAAGTATGTCATTTGATTCGTGACTTTTTCCGCGACTTGTTTTGAGTTTGGCGAAGGGACATAACTCCCATAACTCCCACTAAGCCGGCCGACGCCGTCTAGCTTGCCGGCCAAATCTGCTAGGAGAGCCGGCAAATTTTTCTATATTATATTTAAATGCTGCAACTAACATAGTTGGACTCCACTTGGAGAATAAAATTCGATGGTACCCCGTTCAAGTCTGTTGTTTGGTCATTTCTATGCCGAGGGTATCATTACACATTCGGCTATCCTCCGAATAACGGTTGTAAATTATCGAGGCGGAAATATACCCTAACAGGGTCTCAGTCACGTGTCAGTTGCGCACTCCTGGGGACTATAACGCCACCCTGTTAGGGTATATTTTCCGCCTCGATAATTTACGACCGTTATTCGGAGGATAGCCCATTATTTTATAGTTGAATATGACAAAAGATGGGTTCGAATGACGGCTTTCTTCGAATGGCGGTCCTATAAGATCAAGGCTGAAAATATACCCTAAAAGGGCCTCAGTCAGATGTAAATTGCGCACTTCCGGCGACTTTCATTGCGCACTTCCAGCGACTACCGCCACCGCAGAGAGTATCTTCCAGGCCGTTACGCACGCCATGGATTGGGGCTAAACCAGATGGGACTGGGACTCACTCATCTCCTGCAGCTTCCGCACCTCCTGCAGCTTCCTTCATTTTATTTGCTCGTGAGTCCCAGCCATCTAGTTTAGCCCCACTATGCACGGCGTGGGAGATACTTTCGGCGGTGGTGGAAATCCGCAATTAACATCTGACTGAGGCCCTGTTAGAGAATATTTTCGGCCTTGACATTTGGGGTCGTTATTCAGAAGATAGCCCAGATGACTAAATGTTTGCATTTTGTGGCAAAAAAATTTTTTTTAAAACAAATCTCTTATTAGCTACATACTGTAATCGGGATAGTGAGGCCTAACTGTATTATACAGTATACAATGATATGCATTTCTTGAATATGTATGGTGCAGAAAAGAAGAATGACAATCAGTCTTTTTAGGGGAAGAATACTTATAAAAAGCCATCATTCCTTAATTCAGGAATGCCAAAACTGCTGAATTGGCTCAATTATATTTTATTTAAGTATTTAGTCCCAGGATAATATTATATAAGCTGATGCAATTCCTGTTCTGGGACTAGATGGTAGGTGGGACCCACTGCTGTAGAAAATATGGATACCTGGGAAATATCTAGTTAAAGACCAACCCACAGTCAGTAGGTTCAGGTCTACTTTCTGCTTCTTCAATTTGTCAGATTGACTCTTTACATCACAGTAGAATATCTAGTTAAAGACCAACCCACAGTCAGTAGGTTCAGGATCTACTTTCTGCCTCTTCAATTTGTCCGATTGACTCTTTACATCACAGTAAAACATCTAGTTAAAGACCAACCCACAGTCAGTAGGTTCAGGATCTACTTTCTGCCTCTTCAATTTGGCAGATTGACTCTTTACATCACAGTAGAATGTCTAGTTAAAGACCAACCCACAGTCAGTAGGTTCAGGATTTACTTTCTGCCTCTTCAATTTGTCAGATTGACTCTTTACATCACAGTAGAATATCTAATTACAGACCAACCCACAGTCAGTAGGTTCAGGATCTACTTTCTGCCTCTTCAATTTGGCAGATTGACTCTTTACATCACAGTAGCTTCTGAAAGATTGCAGAGGGCCATTAGTGCAACTAGCCCGTGAGTTCAGGATCCAGTTTCTACATCTCCTTTAGATAAGACTGGTTCCTCCTTCACACCATACACTGTAGTCCCCTGCAGAGTTAAGCTTGGCACTGTTATCACCAGCCAGTGTCTGGTCCAGAGTCTGCCTTTCTCTTGAAGTAGACAGCCTGAGATCTCCAACCACATTAACTCCTGCAGAGTGGGAACTGCCATTACCATCACCAGCTGGAGGAGACCATCTTCATGCCTTTAACAAAATATGGATAACACCTGTTCTATGTTCCATAGGGATTACAGCAAATGAATTATGGTGTTATATTTAACAAGCATATTTCAGCCCTTACTACTAGATAAAACATCCCCAATTGGACAGACCATTCCACTTTTCTCCTGAAAGACTGGAATCTCCACAGATGTACCCTAATAAAGTGAGCAGAGTATCCGCATAATGACTGAGGGTAGTTATTTCCTATGAACAGTCCCGCAGAAAGAGTTCCCCTACATCAAAACCAAATATCCCATTCAAGGGTGCTATGCTGTCCTTCCTCCAGTCGCCATGTTTGTCACCCACTTCACTTCAACTGCTAGAAATTGTTCCTCACATCACTGCATTAATATATCCACAGTTCGATACATATATCTGTTCTCTTACCTACATATGCGGCAGTATTGACAATGCAGGTGAAAAGATCCCACCCCACACACACAAAATAACCGCCAGCTCACTAATTTCAAGTAGGTACTTCATGAAATAATGATTATAAAAGGATTGAAGTAAAAAAAATATCCACTTAACTGCACCTTTGTTTTATTCATATGGCTCGATCTTTTTCTTTGCAATGGCTAGCCACCTGTCGAGAATGATGCACTAAGCAAATGTGGTCACATCAGACTAATCCCCTTTACTTCCCAGGACGTTTACGTGATACCCATTTAAAGCTGGGTTGATTTTGGAGGGGAAAAAAAAACATCAGACTCCATTCACGTTTGAAATGAGGTACATTTACTTAAATATATTTGTGTGTGGTTGCCTTTGTTTTTTTAATTCTGCCTGTAACATTGTGACCCTCTGGATTCCAGTGAGGTAACATTCTAGTTATGTTTTCAAGTTTTCTGAACATGTGTCATATTCAATGGTAGTGTCTTTTCTTCATCTTTTGAATTGTGTTCCAGTGTCTTTTTTCTCATCTCTTGATCAACTGGAATTTGTTTAGTTCGCTCCAGGAAAACGATATAAAACCAAACGAAAAGTATATCAGCAAGCTTCACAATATAACAAACACAAACAAAAGTGAACATTGTGGCTATGGAGCCTTCTCCAGCAAACAATAGAGCACGGTATCGACTAGTGTGACAGGTACAAACAGATAGTGTCAGTTCTGTCTCTCTCAGTGCTTCAAATTCGTGATTGTTTCATACCATTTAATTTCATCTGTTCTGTGCAGGTACCAGGTATTGAATTTTTATAGTTTATAAGTAACTGCTTTAGTTGTTCTCCAAATTTCAGCTACATACAACAGTACAGTTTTTTAAAATTTGAAATTTAAGCTAAATCTTTCAAGTTTAATATATACTAGTTTTAACTTCCTTTAACTTGCACATTGTCAGATCCTCGGACATCCAAATAAAGCTGAGTATATTTAAAGCAAGCATGTCTGTACTCCTTAGGTCTGCCTGTCAGATAACCCCAGCAAGCCATGCTTTGTGCTCTTCTTCAAAGGGGTTCGAATCATGTTGGACTGTGGCCTGGACATTAAGCAGATCCTACACTTTGTGCCTCTGCTGGTAGTTCCTGGGTAAGTTTGCCAATCTGGAGTACAGTTGTTGTCCTGGCTTGTTGGTTATATTCAGGTGAGGTTTCTCATTACAGGGTACACATTTGTAGTTACAGTGTGTAGCGCTGCATATGTGGGCAGAACTGATCGGCGACTGGAGAAACGGGTTGCTGAACATTTTCCACTACAGGTGGTAAAAGCAATGCAGAAGACTAACACCTCAACAACAGTGAATCAGGTGACTGGTTGACAAAATCCATCATTAGCAATTGGGTGCCATATTCTACATTGTTAACAAGGATGATGCATTTCAAATTGTTTACAATTTGGCCAACTGTAGATTACTCCGATTTGCGGAAGCATCAGCGATCAGTCAGTTGAAACCAGAACTTTGCAGACAGAAAGAAATGGTGAAACAGACAGTTCATGAATGTAGTCCATTTTGTGTTTCAGTTTCTAGGATTCAATTATTTCCTTCATTTTAATCAATTGTTACAGTAGTATGCATCTGACGAGATACAGCGAAATATGCCAGGCAATAAATTGTGCAGTCTATTGTTTGTGTCTTCTTTGTTCAAAGTTATAGTGTGTGTTGGTAAATATAAGTCAAGTTTTTAGTTACTAGGTTTTTTGTGTGAGTTCTGGATAGGTTTTTAGTTACATCGCAGGTTTGTAGTTCCAATTGATTTCTAGTTACTGGGTAATATTGTGGTTCTTGGATAAGTTTGTGGTTCACATTTAAGTTTGTGGTTTGCAGTAATTTTGTATTTTGTGGGTAAATTTATAGTTTCTTAGTAAGTTTCATTTCAGGGTGAGTTGATAGTTTCCAGTAAATTTTTGGTTCCTAAGTAAGTTTGTATTGTCTGGATAAGTTTTGTATTCCTGAATACGATTGATATCAGCATAAATAAGCCTCTTCTCTAACTTTAGGACGTATTGGGTATATGGTGCTAGAGATAGATTTGAATATACTATGTGCTTTTTTCCTTCCAGAAATAATGTGCTGGCTCTCATCAGCAAATGTCTAAAAAACAAAAAGGGTGGTGGTAATCAATACAAAGTGTTGAGTCAAGAATTGACATCACAGCACTTGGGGCATTCCCATGCATGCTCTGTCCTCATCTTCAGCAGCCAGGGCAGAGTTCCAGTACTGAAAGCACCAGTTACAATCTGGTTATATGTCTGTCTTGCCTTTCCTCTGAGTGTAGTGAGCCGACCAGACCCTCTGGTTACACCCAGGTGCCTCATTCTCTTCAGGCTATAATAATCTTGTTTCTCTACTAATTCCGTTGCTTGTTCCCAAAGGGCCTTGACCACATCTGCTTTGTCATACATCAATTCACCACCCAGTGGTGTAGATCCTGCCAATCTGTCTGCCTATTCATTACCCATACAAATTTCATACAAAGTGTCTGTTACAGCAGTGCTGAAAAAACACAAATGTCTGAAACAAAGATGCAGGTGCTGCTTACCACAGCCAGAAAAAGAAAAGCTATGGATATACCACATATTACTGAATGGGTGCTGTGATCCATATCACTCTGACCACCTTTACTTCCTAGATTGTATTCTGGTACCCATCTCAGGCAGGGTAGAAATCATGGTCTGCCCCTAGGTGTCACTTATATATTGTGCCTATCTTCATGCTGGTCAGCCTCTGTCCCTCTTTCCTGGTACCTTGACTTCTGCTGTTATTAATTACAGTCCATCTGAGTGCTTGATATGGCCAAACTATTTCAGTTTCTGAGACAAGTGCTAATAACTGGCCAGTTTTCCTAGGTGGTCAAATAGACTTGGTTTCACATTACCTGACTTAACGAGGATTCATACTTGTTGATCGTCATATCAGCAGACAAACATGTTAACCATTGCCGCAGGCCTAATTGATCACAGTGAAATAAAAGAAATAATAGCGGTGCTAGAAACTTCCCCTCAGTATCGTTAAAATTGAGTTTGTATCATTAAGACTGAATCTGCTGCCAGAAAGGCTAACACAGTAGGAACATGCCCAGGGAGGTCAAGTGGTCTTCTGTAAACAAGCAAAACACAGTTGTATTCCTAAATAGTGTTACCAGTGTTAAATGTGGACATTAACAGTAAAAGAAAATTGAAACAACAGAAATGAAATGACTATGATAAATCCTCAGTGTAACTAGAACAAGCATGATCAGAAATGATGGTATCGGGAAAGACATTGGAATGGAACTAGTGCTTAACTACCACCAGACAGTGCACCACAGAGAACCTTGTCACTTAGGCATAATGGAAGCAGACGTGGTCTACCATGCCAGCGATGGACAGGTGGAATATTCAAGGCCATAAATAGCAGCATCTACATAGAATATACCCAGACTCACCCCGATGCCTCTTCAAAACCTGATACTGAAATGCAGAACAGGACTAGGGAAGAAGAAGAAGAAGAATTGTATCCAGAGCCTTTAAAAATATAAAAGAATAAAGGAAAGAATAAGAATATCTACTACAAGGTCAGTTTTAGAACTGCTTTACCTAGTACACTGCGGTTGCTATGGCTGGTACAGTACTGGACAGAAGTGATGTTATCAGTGCCATGCGCTGCACTAACTGTACCAAGGAACACCAAAGGACATACCTTCATATTCCTGTCTAGACTGATGGACATGGGGATACAGCCTGGAGCTGCAAGAAATGAACATTTCACTAGGGGGACAAGACGTTTCATTAACCAACACAGAACAGGCGTCATCAGTCGTTTGATACTTGTGAAGCTTTTGAGGAGGAGATCGGAGCACCTATTGATCTGTCCGAAGTGCTGTGATGATAATCCTGTCTAATTACAAATCACTATTACATAGTGTAAGTGCTTTATTTTCCCATTCATTCTTTCCTGTCAGGTTTCAAGTGTCCAAGGCACGGCCGTGGAGTCAAGGTGGAGACAAAAGGACTCGGGTACCAGATGATGTGGTAAATATGTAGCGAGTGTTGCTTTAATTAATATACCACAACTTACAGCGTGTTATTGCTGTAATTAATACCGCAACCTACTACTTGTCCTTTTAAATCCATCCAGATTTGAGGCGTAGATATCTGTTTTATGATTAAGTAAGGTTAACATATGGAGGACGCCAGCATCTCTCTTTATATTTTCTCTACCCTGCACTACTGCTGGCTTAGCTTAGCTCTCAGAGTCATTGAGAAAAACAAGCTCCCTAATCACGACAAAATGGAGAAACCTTTGAGAGAAGCTTTAATAGATCAATACAGCACAACATGCAGCGTTACATTGGTTTAATTAATTCACCACAAACATACAACATGACATTATTTTGCTTAATAGACCACAATAACAACAACTTGTTTTTGTTTACAAAATGTTATTTAAACGCAATATTATTATTTTACTGAACTAAGCTTAGGTGTCAAATTTTTTAATTATTGAAAATTTTTTTAACATTTTTTAAAAAACCCCTAGGAACGGTGCTTGCACAAAGAGATAACTGTATGTATCATATACAGTTGTAATTTTTATTTTGTCTCCTGCATTGTTCAGTAGAATGCCAACTTTCCGTTACAAAGCTCCTTTATTCATAACAACAACCTTCCGGAAACGTCCATATATTGGTGTAAGCCTGACCTTACTGATTAGCATAAGCTGTGCACAATTACTGTTGGCCGAAACTGATCATGTGGGTATCTGAATCTCCAAGATGGCCAGTTTGATCAATTGTTTATGTTGGTGAACACTTAACGTTCCAAATTGGAAAAGACCTTGTTCCAAGAAATTTACCCTGCAGTCAGCTTCTCAACATAAGAAATCTCGCAGTCTGCAACTAATTGCTCCTAAGCAAAGTCTACCAAAACATTGTAAAGATATGGAATGTGAATCGGGCTGAACAGCGCTTGCCTTTTCCTGGCATTACTGGGATTTTGACAGTGAATGATTCTGTACTCTTCATGATAAATCACTTCTGCCATTAAGCCTCATGGGGAGCAATAATTTGTGATCCAGTGCACGCTGGCTGCCACTGGCTACTGTCATGCCATGAAGGCATAGAGTGTCTTAAAATGTTGTTGATCTATATTTTTTGCAGCCATTCTTTTGGTCTTGTAGCTGATCTTCAGAGATATACTGCTTGTTAAATTATTTGATCATGCTGCATTCTAACGAGATGGCCAGACATCTTCATCTGCTGTTTCTCGATGAATCTAGTACAAGGAGTCGTTTCCACAATTTGTCTGATAGTTTCATTATTCACTCGATCTCGGATGGTTAGGTTGGCGGCTTTTCTCAGGCATCTCATCTCGCAAATGGTGATTCTGTACCTAACCATAAAAAGCTACAGAATATCTTTTGCCAGTTCGCAACAGGCTGTCTGATACTAAACTACTTAGTAAATGTGTTTCAGAAAAGTCAGAACTCAAATGAGTGTTTACACAGCCTGATCTGGTCTCGCTGTACTAAAAAATAACTTTGCCTCAAATGATACTTTTAGTATAATAAAACATGAAAGTAATTTCTTCCACAAACATGCAACCTAGCATTGTTTTAATTAATGCACCACAAACATAAAACCTGACATTGTTCTGATTTTTTGGGGGTCAGAAAAAAGAAACAGCAAGGAAAAGACTGCCTGTCTCTTAAACCGTGACCTACATTATGTTAAACTCATATCACACCATTGTGGCAAAGTATTACAGAATTACCATTACTATTTGAGCCCATTGCATACAATTACACATGTTTTTTTTTCTCTGTTAAACTACCAGACACAAGAGCTAAAAGATTGTGGTGGAAGACTCTTGGTAGATGGAGCACCTGAGTTTGCCATACCAGAGGTATTTGTATTTATTTAAAATAGTGTAGAGATAAGATATCTGTTTTTAATCATAGGGGTTAATATAGAATGCAATCCGTGGGGCATATAGAGAATGGTAGTTTGCAAAGAGACTAAAACTGTACACAAAAAGTTTGAATGACAAAGACAAGACAGACCAAGAAAATAGTAGAGAGTTAATATCCAGATAGACCTACAAATACCAGCCAGAAATAGAGGGCCAGTCATAGAGATTAATGCAGGTGGGTGATGCAGCAATGAATTTCAAGGGTTCTGAATGCTGAAGAAAAATAAGACAAACTACAAACTACACAGACTATTTTATTTCTTTGCTTCCCTTGTGTTAGAAGCTCGCCTATGGTATCAAAGGTTGTGGGTCAAAATGGGTGCAGACTTTTTTCAGAAATTATCTTGGTTCCCAGGTTGACTCAGCCTTAAATGGGTACTAGGTAGTCTAGGCACTAAAGGAGCCACTGGCTAAGCAATTAAAGGTGGGGCTGTCTGTCAGGAGACCCTTGGTGAGGCAATGGCAGTTTTTTTCTTTCCAGGGCCAAAAATACACATCCTGACCTGCTCTGTTTGTGGACCCTTTTAGATGCTGGGACCACGGACTTAGGCTGGTCAAGGCTTTTCCTTATCTACATCATCTTGGTCATCCTAAAGACAGGTTCCCAGCTTGGGACTTGGTCAAGGCTTTACATACCTGACTCTGTGTGGTCATCCTAGGTCATGTTCCCAGCTTGAAACCTGATCAAGGCTTATCCATGCCTGACTCTGTGTGGTCATCCTAGAGACAAGTTCCCAGCTACAGGCTTGGTCAAGGCTTATCCATACCTGACGGTGTGTGTCATCCTAGAGACAGGTTCCCAACTGAAGGCCTGGCTGAGGTAGAAAGAATCAACATTCTCTGCCTGAGTATCAAGGAGCCAACAGTCTGCACACAAATAAGCCAGACTACAAGTTCCCAGTGGGGAGCTGGCCAGTAAATTAATATTTTCGTTGAAGTTGTAATACATCTGCCTGAGAATCAAGTAGCTAACAGTCTGCACACAAATAAGCCAGATCTGTAAAATGTAACATTAATTTCCTGCTGGTAAACAGGAAAAAAGAGAAACCACCCGAACAAGGGGGTAAACATAAGCGGTATAGATAGTTTATTTCCCTACGATGTAAACATTCTTTTAATTGATAATAATATCATTCATGTAATAAGTGGTGTGTGTGGTTCTCGCTGTCTAGGTAGTATTCATGCGTGTGTGGTGGATGTCCTTCTCACACGCTCCACGTTACACAACTGGCACAAGCCGACACCAATGAGCGCTTACGAGACATGAGTTTATTGACATATTTACACTTACATACAAGAATGTCCTGTCGGTGTCCTAGTAAACAGCTCTCGCACACAAATTCATGCAGCCTTCAGCGAGCAGTCTTCTTCAAGCATTTACTGACCAAAGTCGGCTCCCATGGATTCACGTTGAGGTTCTGGCCATCACACAGACTGGCATGGTCGATCTCAGCTTCACACTTCGTCGGCAGGATCTCCTTTCTGCACAAGCACTCTCACGTTGACATTCTCACTTTCAGTCGTACGTCCTCTCACTCCAACAGGTCGACACAAACTAAGCTTGACCAGAGTCAAGTCTGACTTATACCACAGGTTAGTTTCACGTGATAACACGTGGTGGTCCTTTACTTTTCACGTGGCGACCTTTGGTCGCGTTCCCGTGGTACCCGTGATAACTAGCGGTCATCACCTATCTCAAGATTCTCGTTTAATCTGAGTATCCGGACTATCTCGGTGTTTTAGGTCAGCTTTGGGCCTTCCCCCCAACCATCCTAAACTGGGTGAAAATATCCCCCATTGCAATTCAAAACAATGTTTTACCATGGTAAATATAAAAAATGCGTACACAACGCAGAATACAGCCATAAGTGAACTATGCCTGGCAATAAATTGTGTGATGTAGTTTGTGTCTGCATTTTTTCAATAATAATACTGTTTGTTGGCAGACTGGCATCATCAACTTGTCCACCCTGGATGCCATACTTATCTCCAGCTATGGCTGTCTGATGGCACTGCCGTATATCACAGAATGTACGGGGTTTAGAGGCACAGTGTACATGACGGAGCCCACACTGCATATTGGCAGGTGAGTTAAAGGTCATAGGCAAGAGGATTGACTTCATTGCACCGAATGTAATCCCATATGGCTCGGTCTCTGATAGCAGAACATCTAGCCGCCTGTCGAGGGTGTCACATAAAGCACGAAAACCATAGCTCTGGTGATGATCCCCATGGATCTCGATACTAATTGCAGTCGTGAACTGAACGGTGCAGCCGTAAAACAAGCCCACGACCTTCAGAGCATGAAGCAAGCAGTTTGACCCCTTCATCACAGATCCTTGGCAGGCATGTGAAGTCAGTGATGGTACAAACTAGCAGGGCCCACCATCTTTTGTTTCACTCTTTGTGTTGTATCTGTGAATGGGGGGGGGGGGGGGGGGGGCTGTCTGATAACTGCTGTGGGTATTATGGCTGTGTGAGTTTTGTGTCTTTGAATTGTTGTTTTTGTGTATTGTGTCTGTGTGCAAGTTGTCTGTGAGCATGTGTGTATCTGTATGTTGTATCTGTGAGTCTTGTGCCTGTGAGTTTTGTGTTGTGTGTGCTAGTGTTGTTTGTATGTATTGTGACTATATATTGCTGTGACTAAATTTTGCTGTCAGAAAAAAAATAATTTTTTTCAGTCACCATTTTACAGCCACATTATGATAATGTACATTAAGATTACACATTTTTTTTATATTTTGAGATTTTTCTCCATTCAGTTTTGATGCAGAAATACAAAATATTATGAGTTTTTGTCAAATAGTCCTGAAGCTATGGCATTTTTAGTAGACACTAAAATACTTGGTATCTGGAAAAGTGCAAGTGTTAACAGACTTGGTAGTCAGTCATGTTTGGAGAGACAAATGAAGTTTGTTTACTTTTGCATGTAGCAGACAGTACTTGAAATACTTCATGTTCGTTGTGTACTTTCATAAAGTGACAGACATGGAAACATTTATATATTGGTTCTATAGTTTAATGGCGGGACAGACAATAGTGGTAGACAGTACGTGGGATAATTTATGTTGGTTCTATACTTTCATCAAGGGACAGACAAAATGTGGATAACAGATAATAATTGGGAAAATTTGTATTTGGTTCTGTACTGTTATGAGGGGACAGATAATACATGGAGGAATTTATGTTGTTCTATACTTTCGTGAGCGAGCAGGCAATAAGTGTGGCAGACAGTACATAAGAGAATTTATGTTGGTTCTGTACTTTCATGAGGGGACAGACAAAACATGGAAGAATTCATTTTGGTTTTATACTTTCATGAGGGGACAGACAAAACATGGAAGAATTCATTTTGGTTCTACACTTTCATGAGGGGACAGACACAACATGGAAGAATTCATTTTGGTTCTATACTTTCATGAGGGAACAGACAAAACATGGAAGAATTCATTTTGGTTCTATACTTTCATGAGGGGACAGGAAAAAACATGGAAGAATTCATTTTGGTTCTATACTTTCGTCAAGGGACAGACAAAATGTCTTGCAGACACTGCATGTGAGAATTTATGTTGGTTCTATGCTTCAATCCATCCATTCATCCATCCATTTATGCTTTAATGAGGTGACAGGTAATACGTGGAAAAAGATGTGAAATTTGTGTGCTTTCATATGTGGCATACACTACTTGACAAATGTTATGTTGGCTTGTTTACTTTTATGTGGTGGTAGACTGTACATGGAAGAGTTGGTGAAATACGTTGAGAGGAATCCCAAGTCTTCAGTGGCATCTCACTGGAAACAGGAACATATTATCAGGTGGGTGGTGCTAAACTGTGGATCGTTAGAAGATATAAAACCAAACATAAATCTGTGTATTTATACTTTACAGATTCTTGTAGTTGATCTCAGTGGAGGTTTAGTAATTTCAATTGTGTGTAAGAGAGAGAGAGCATGAGTCTGAGAGAGAATGTATGTATGGATGGGAGAATCACTGTGAGAGTGAATAAGAGTGATTGTGTGTGAGAGAATCACTGGTAGAGAGTTAAAGTCAGTGAAAGAGTGATTGTTTATGAAAGAGAATGTTTGTATGTGAGAGAAATAATGACTTTGTGCAAGAGTGGTTCCATTTGAGAGAGATTGGGTGTATTTTAGGAGGAATGAATGTGTAGGAGAATTAATGAATAAGTTTATGTTTATTCGACTGTTCATCATCATGGCACACGGGTGTAACCGATAAGTGCTCCGTTCTGCTTCTAACTCAAGCTTGACTCTGAAGAATCTTAACGCAGTGCATGAACTCTGTTGCACCGGCAAGGATCCTGAAATACTTTGGGTAGATTTTTAACTCAAGATTTTGCCAGGGCTGTGCCGTTAGACTACTCTTTTAGATTTCCAACTGCCAAGAAATTTTTGTTTACGTGCACAAGAATACACACAGGCCTCTGATCTTACTACCCAGAGACCAGGGGAAATTACTAGTCCGCGTGAGAATATCCCAGCCTTCACCAGGGCTTGAACCTAGGACCTCCGGCACTTAAGGCAGACACCATATCTTGAGACCACTCAGGCCGCCCCCCTACCCCCAGTTGTTATTAATTAGCATTGTTAATGAATACTTATTAATGAATAAGTGTGAGAGAGCAAATATATGAGCCACAGTGAGCACATAAGAGAGACCGAGTGTGGAAGTACTCTGAAAGACTGAGCTTTAACTCTTTAGCTTATGCATTGGTATTCTGGTCATAGAATATATGATTCAATGGTATAGAACGAATGGCATAAAACTATGCTCTTCAAGAACAGGACACCACACAGAAATGCAGATACATCAGCATTTACAGGGACTGTATCAGAACGAACTAGATTAGGGCTTCTCTAGGTGACAGGGTTAGTAAGCCTCAAAGAATGCTGTTCAGCAGCTCTAAGTCTTTGCAGTGTAAAAAGCTGAGGTAAGCGTACTCGAAACTGTCAAGTAAAGGACACTCCCCCCCCCCCCCCCCCCCCCCCCCCCGCCAAACCGCCCCAAACCCCACATTTTTTTTTTAGCAACAGTGGCACATTGGGCATAAGATATTTTTGTAGACCAATTGGCACCCCCATGGGTGATAGGTTCAGCAACAAACTGACCACTTTTACATCCCAGGACATTTCCTTATACCTGTTTTAGGCCACGGTAGCCGGGAAGCTGAGGACAGTTATTGAAAGAAATCCACCACTATGCAGATTTGAACCTGAGATCTTTAAGCTGATAAGTGGGGGCCCAACCACTGTGCTACCATGTTGTGTAGATAGTTCATTTTGAGAAAGGCCCCACCCAAAGCATTAATTTGTGTGTTTTGTTCTTTGTTGTTCTACTTCCCCATTTCATGAAGCTTTTTACCCACAGTTCACTGGATTAAAATACCAAAGCAAGAGTTAATATTATATTTAAAAGATAATATTATATTTCAAAGTTAATATTATATTTGCAAGTTAATATTATATTTGAAAGTTAGTAATAAATTTGGAAGTTAGGATTATATTAAAAAGTTAATATTATATTGAAAAGGTAATACTCTATTGAAAAGTTAATATTATATTGAAAAGTTTATATTATTTTGAAAAGTAATATTATATTGTAAAGTTAATATTATTAAATGGTATACAGAAACCTGCCAGCACCACTGAGAGATGCCATCCGCCCACGGCAGTGGAGGAAGCTGTACACCCTACATGACATCAACTCTGCTCTGTCCAAGGTGCAGCTGGTCGGGTTCAGCGAGAAAGTGGTAGGTGGATTAGCTGCTCTTGATATCCATTTCACACAGTGAGCACCAAAACCAGAACTTTTGATGCTTCAGTGAATTCAGTACCATGCTCCATAAATGCCTCTCAACCGACAGGGCTATGGTGGCTTGTTTACAAGAATCCTCACTAAGAGCATTGATTCCATTTGCATGTGCACAGATGTTTAACTGGTCCCCCAGTAGCTGTAGTTACTTAAAAAAAAAAAGCATTTGTAGTTATTTTCTTTCAATAAACTGGCTTAATTTGTAGAAATTGTGGTGTCCTGATTTCCTGAAAGTCTCAGTGGCTTTCAGATGGCCGGGTCTCAAGGACAACAATGAGTCATGGTATTAAATTAATTCAACCCCAGGAAGATGTAACCTAGTTGATTCTCTGCTACTGTTTTTTTTTCACTGATTACTCCACTGCATCATTGCTTCAGTTTTATTATTTGATGGTGTCCAAAAATGGATTTAAAGGATTTTTTTTTTACAACCCTAAAATTCCTCAGTTATTATTTCTTGGCATTGTTTTTTTTCTTGGTCGCTTGGGTGAAAGGGTTAAGGGTCTCCATAACAAAGCAGTTGAGATGTTTGCCTCATGCTCTAAAAGTTTTGAGTTCAGTTTCAGACTGTCCTGTTTTTTTGTTTGCAAGTTCTCTGACTGGGATATGAGCCCTGTTATGGGAAATGGGGGGTTAGGGGTGCCTCTGCCTGAGAGACAAGGAACCAGCAGTTTGCACACAAATAAGCCAGATCTGTCAAACGGACAAGCATGCACAACCCAGGCTCTGGAGCAAGACTACATTCTTTGGTCATTGCCATGAGAAGAAGAAAACTGGAATTTATCATGACCTTGGGAAAGTTGGAGAGGGAAAGAGGCATCAGGAAACTGAGAGAGAAGATGCTGGACAGTTTGATATCATAGAGTAGAAGATCATCTGTGCCAAAAAAGACATGATATTGATCCATTGGTGTGTCCCCTCCCAGCTGCCACCTAACGGTTTACCATACCTTTCTGAGATTTAAAACGGCCTTAATCTGGATGGCAGACCACCAAGATAGGTCCCAGACGCCCCTGTTCAACCTCCAGAGAAGTTATAATTAGGGCACCCATAACAGTTACACCAGCCTAGTGTAACCTGTGGTCCTGTGCAGGCAAGGATGAAAAGATATGTGACAAGGGTTGTGGATAGATGTGACTACCAGTGCCATATGGCATGGACTATACGAAGAGGAATCATTTTGACTGCAGAGGCTAGAGTCATGTTTAGAGAGTCATGTATCATTGATGATACTTGAGCCATTGTTGAGTTATAGATAATTGTATAGACAAGTTTGCCTTTTTGTGTGAGCAGGATATTTTTGGAGCCCTGACAGTCACTCCTGCCAGTTCTGGTTGCTGTATTGGCAGTTGCAACTGGATTATTCAGTCAAAATATGAAAAAGTAAGTTGACTGTTTTGGTTAACTACATTGCTTTATCTTCTTCTTGGTTCATCTGAGTTTGTAATTGCATTGTCTGTTGATATTTGCAGCTTTCAGCTGACACATCCAACTTCTGACTGACTCGGAAAGTAAAATGCACCCGGCTTGTATAGAGCCGCCAAATAAATAATCAATTTTCAATTGTTTGAAATGCCTTATTTGATCAATTAGGTTAGATATAGTCTAGTAGTGTTGAATTTATCTGGTTATATATATAGGCAGGTAGGGATGTTATCTCTTTATATATAAGCAGGTAGGGGTGTTATCTGGTTAGATATAGGCTGGTAGTGATGATGTTATCTGGTTAGATATAGGCTGGTAGTGATGGTGTTATCTGGTTAGATATAGGCTGGTAGTGATGCTGTTTATTTAGATATATATGGGCTGATATTGATGTTATCTGGTTATATATAGCCTTTTAGTGTTGATGTTGTCTGTTTTATATCAGCTAGTAGTGATGGTGTTATCTGGTTAAATAAAGACTTTTAGTGGTCATGTTTTTATTAATGGAGTTTTTCAGGCTAGACTTTTAGTGATATAGGGCTCTTCTTCTTTTAATCTTCTTCTTCTTCTTCTTCTTCTTCTTCTTCTTCTTCTTCTTCTTCTTCTTCTTCTTCTTCTTCGTCTTCTCCTCCTTCTCATTCTCTTCTGTCTCTTTCTCTTCTTCTTCTTCTTTATTCTCCTCATCATCCTCCTCTTTATTCTCCTCCTCCTCCCTCTTCTACTTTGTGTTCTCAGGCAGAAAATTATGATTGTTTGTCCCCTTCTGGACTGGGTCTTGTTCCAGAACTTAAGTTTTGCGTGCACATCTGTTTTATCAATCTGGTTTCTTTATATACAGACTGTGGGCATCTTAGGCAAATGCACACTTGCTTCAAAGGAAAACTAATTAGTAGCCTTTTACAAGATGCTTGTTGCGGGTGGGGGGGGGGGGAGGATGCAGCGAGTCTTTTCCATTCCCACACCACCCCCAAATGTGGCTCTGGAACCCACATGGGAAGATCATCTGGTAGAGATGCTGTTATCAGGTAAGATATGGTCTGATAGTGCGAAGGTACAAAGCAGTAACTCCATGTCTCCACTGAGGGTTCTGAGGATGCCATTAGAAATTGCACCGAATGGTGCAGCCGCAAAACAAACCCATTGCCTTCAAAGTACAAGGCTTCCTTTCTGCATTCCAGGGCTCCATTTTTTAGAGGGTCAAAATTGACCCACTGCCTTGATAACAAACATGTTGCAGGAGCTTGATAGTTATGGATAGGGCTGTACCGAATATTTGCTTCGTATTCGCTTTGGGGCCAAATAGTGGACCTAATAACTATTTGGTATTCGGCCGAATACGAATAGTGGTTACCTTACACCCGTTTCTGCATACACTGCGAAAGTCAAATAACTCTCATTAACACAATAGTTGCTGTTTCCTAAGTCTGTCGTAACGGGGCAAACTGCGACCCGGTTGCATGGTACAGCAGCTGACAAGGTCTTTCCCTGCTGATTTGACCAAGGCATTACAGCAGAGGTTCTCAAACTGAGTGCGAAAATCAAGAAAAGTCGGCTATAAATTGTGACATTATTAAAAAAGGCATGAAGATACTTAAAAGTTAAAATTTAAATTCTTTCCTCACCACTGTCGAAATGAGGACAGGCAAAAACTGCCTTCGATAAAATGAAGAACCTCATATGCAATATATCTTTGTCATTGAAGGTTAGAAAAAGAATTCTTGCTTGCTACATACATCCAGTTTTAACATATGGCTGTGAGTCCTGGACAATCGGTAGGCAGACCAAACAATTTCTTGACGCCTCAGAGATGTGGTTTTACAGAACAATGCTTAAAATACCTTGGACAGCCAAAAAAAGAAACTAAGAGGTTTTGAAAGAAGTGGGAGCCTGAAGACAACTAATCACAGACATCAGAAGGAGACAGTCATAATTTTTTGGCCATGTTATGAGATGAGGGACAATGGAAGATGTTGTGACAACTGCAAAGATCTGTGGAAGGAGGGATAGAGGAAGACAACGAGAGAAGATTCTTGACAGTCTTGTTGCATGGCATGGAGGTGTGTCAGCACACAAACTAATATATGCTGCAGGAGATCGCAGATTGTGGCGAGGCATAATCGCTCACACAAGTCGACAAGACACCTGATGATGATGATACACTATTCGTATTCAGCCGAATAGTTAGTCCCGCTATTCGTATTTGGCCAAAAATGAAAATCACTATTTGGTACAGCCCTAGTTATGGATGTCCCCTTGCAAGTCAGAGTGCAGCTGCCTGAGAGAGAAGGAACCAAGTCTGCATGCAAATGAGCAAGATCTGTGAAACTGATCTGCATGCAAAACTTAAGCTCCAGATCAAGATTAAAGTCCAGGAGTGGATGAACAACCAAAACATTATGCTGGCGTTTACAGCCAGTGAATGTTAACAGGAAAAAGAAGTTCGGAAGGCAAATGGCCTGACTACTTTACCATAGAGTTATAATAGTGATATTTTCTTCTTCTGCTTTCATCCGAAGTCGTAATTGCGTTGTGTCTGTTTACAGCATGGCTGCGATATTTGCACCTTTCGGCCAACACATCTTCTGTGGGATAATGGTGATATTATTTTAGCTCTTTGTACCCAAGCTGCCACTTAAAATTCCCAGTTTATTAGACCAGAATGAAATAAAGTCACTTCTCCTTGGTACTGAAAGAGTTAACCTAACCATAAGACTGAAGATATGTGTATTATTTTTTTTTTTTTTTTTTTTTTTTCAGTTTGCCCCTGGTGTGTTATTTTGTGCATTCAAGCTTAATTTTTACTTAAATTTTTCATGTCTGCAGATATGTTATGTGGCAGGGACATCTACATTGACCACACATCCCAGGGTGAGTGATACTTTTTATTGCCTATCCATGTCTGCTTATATGTAAGGATTGTTCCTTTGAATCCGTTCACGCTGCACCACACATAATTGCAGTGCACTGAACATGATCATGTCGTTGTCACGTAGTAAGTACTGACCGGTTAATAAAAGAGCACATGCTTATTATCCCATGGTGCATTAGTTCTGTTTCCGCCCAATGAAAAAATGGCCAGGTTGATCTCAAATTTGCCCAGAGAAGCTCAAAGACTTGTGATATAGTTGCTTTTAAATAAAGGATTTTGACCAATGGACATTGAAGAATGCAGGCAGCGTATGGTAATAAATGTGTGTCAAAGATAACAGTAAACGACTGGTCATGAATGTTGAGGAAAATGTAAGTGTTTTCCACAGCCGGGTCAAGCGCATATTGTTGCAACAGAAGAAGAAGAAAACATGACCGCAACTGATGCAGCAGTACAGATGAATCATTGTCGAAGCATACATTTACCAGTGAAAGAATTTATTGTGTCAATTAGGTCAGCTCACAATATTGTTCATAAGATCCAATTTTTAACAAATGTATTATTGACCGGTGTAAAATGCTTTTAGGGATTCCTATAGGTTCCAGACCCATATATTTAGCTTTTCCGGTGCGAATGGGTTAACTTTGATAGGTCCGTAGCAGATGTTGCCATTGGGGTGTGGAGTTTCCCTTGTGGGTTTAGGGACCCATATTATGGGGGGGGGGGCATAGAAATAAGAAGTATTATTATAATTGCTGGAGTTAGAAGTGTTTTGTCAAAAGGTGCGGGTATCACAGCCTAGCTGTAAACCATAAACCACTACACAATGTCCCAGCTGTTTAAAGCAGAAGAAGAACCAGGACCACTGTCTTAGCAGGTAGGCACACTAACTAGTTAGCCATCCCCCCAAAAAAGCTGAACTCTTTTAGTCAAAATAGGTAATTACTTTATCACTTTCTGTCCTGGTGATTTTTTTTTACTTTAAAGCACACAGGTTAGGTCTGAAGGGGGTTATATAACAATATCATTGAACATAAGAAAGTAAAGTATCAGGTCTCACATAATGAGTTGATGCAATAAAAGAAGACCTGACAGGGTTGCAGTGCTGTCTAACAGTTAAACATATGCTGATTTCCTTGGTACAGAAAGAGTTGAAAGTGTAAGACAAAATCTAAATAAATAATCATGTTATCTTGTTTCTCATTTGTGTGTATTCCTATATCTTGTCATGATTGTTCATGTGCTTTTTATTGTTGAGTGTCTCCTTACTGCAGCCAATGGATCAGGCCCCACTCAAGAATGCAGACATCCTGATCCTCAGCTGCTTCACTCAGACCCCCTTATCATTGCCAGATCCAATGATAGGAGAGTTTTGTGTCAATGCAGGTGGGTTGAAAGACATTTGTGTGTGTCTGAAACTATAGTCTCTTACATTATTTTTTTTTTCTCTCTCCTATCTTACTTCTGAAGTACCTGTATGTTACCAGGACCCTAATAGAAGGACATTAATATTACACTTTACCATTCATGTCATAAGAGGCAACAGGGTCTGCCTGCATATTGGCCTAACTTGGACAGAGTTACAAAGATCACTATTCTAGGTATGTGGAGTTTCAGTGCCAGTCTTGCATTTTTCCACTGTCTTTTGAATATGGAGAGCTTTCCAAGACAGTTTCCCTGGGCACGATTACAGATAAGTAGGAAAGACTCTAAACCAGCTTCCTTTCCAATAGATGAATTCACTGAACAATGACTAGAGAGCTCTGTGAAAGGGGAAAGGAGAAAACACGCATGTACAAACAACTGAGCCTTTATCGACAGACACCACAACAATAAAGTATTCCTAGACACCAGTCCACTCACAGAGAAGTCACTTGAATCATTGCAGTAGATGCCAGTACAATAATTTGAATATCAACACATCTGGTTTAAGAGTTAACACTTCATCATACTTGGAGACAAATGAGATCCTGTCACTAAAAGAGGTTTAACCCTGTTGCCTCAAGAAAGCTGGTTTGCAGACTTCTACGGGTTTTTGATGACATCTTTGGACAGTGGGCACTACACCTTTATATCAGCTTTTATACTGGTTGCAACTTGATAATATTTAGGCATTGTGGGTATTTTTTTTTTTTTCAACCTTCACTCCCCCGACTTTTTTTTGTTTTATGTATAAATTGTTTTAGATATTTTTGGAAGCCAAAAAAAAAAAAGATATTTTTGTGTGTATGTAACACTGTGATGTCAAAATACTTAACTCTCTGTCACTGTGTCAGCAAAACCCATTTTCCTGGTCAAAGGGAAGGAGAGCAGTTATTTCTTTTGCTCTGTTTGTATTTAATGATTACTTCCCTTCATATAAAAAAAATCCACCTTTCTGCCCGATAACCAGTAAATTTGAAAATCCATCTGTTTAGTGACTTCTGAGGGCCATAATGATGCAATGGCTGGCAGGCTTGCCAATCTCCCAGTGGTCATAGGTTTTAGCCCCCTTGGGTTTTTGAAAACCTAATCAAAATTTCAGATTGTTACTGCTTCTTTTTCTCTTACTAAATGAATGAAAGAAAAAACAAACTTTATTTTCAAAGGGTTAAGAATTGGGCACACAGGCCCGTCTTACATTCTGCCCTTCTGGCCTCACTCCATGGATACATTATTCCATTCACACATTGTTTTAGCAAATAATAATAATAAAAGACATAATAAACAATATCTTAGTTACAATGGTGCTCTAAGCATACCTACATTTTAAAACAGTTATAATACTAAGTATACTAAATCTTGGTGGAAACAACAATATGCTTAGGATAATATTATCATCTAAGGGGTATATAGTCTCTAGTGAGATAATATTCAAAAAGCTTCCAATTGTATTTTTAGGGGTTGTTGCTCTAATTTCTGAAGGTAGAGTTTCTGAGGATTATAACGATGTGTTTCTTTGCAACATAATTTGGAGGAAAGTAGTTTTTAAAAAAATTTTTAAACAGGGTGAAAGGGTTAACCTCTTTATTGGCAAGCAGTGTGCTAACCACACTGCTGTCATTGTTTCAAGTATAGAAAATGTAAGAATACATGTCTCATATCCTACATTAACATAACAGAGCCTCTTATATAAATGTCAACAGCTGTGACGGTCAAGAATGGTGGCAATGTTCTTGTTCCCTGCTATGCGTCGGGAGTAACCTTTGACCTGTTTGAGTGCCTGTCGGGACATCTAGACCAGTGTGGGCTGTCGGGTGTGCCGATGTACTTCCTGTCTCCAGTGTCGGACAGCACGCTGGCGTACTCTAACATCTTTGCTGAGTGGTAAGTGAGTGTTGTTTGGCATGTCAGTGAAATGGAACAAAGGAGAAACAACACACCTATTCATTATCAGAAATAAAATCACTTATCAACGGAGAATACACAGAACTGTGGAGACAACAAACCAACAGTAAACATCAGCAAGACCCCATGAACAGATTTAGCAGAAAATGGTATCAAAAAATGTCTGCCTAAGAACAGGGCACTGCGGGCTTATCTACCACATGCATAAAATAAAGATTGTACAGTCCACACAGTCTGCCTGTCAGAGGAGGCTACAAACACTTGAGCACATTCTTCAGGCCTGCCAACTATACCCACAACTATGAAGAGAAACCTAGCCTCACGGGTAAAGTGTGCAGAGCAAGCTATGGGAAACCACGAGGGACCTGCAACTGATACGTTTCAATCATAGAGGCAGCCCACCTGATGATCTGACCCGAGCAAACAAAACTGAACACAAAGAAGAAGAATGTGGAAGAAAAAAAATGAACAAATAAATTGTATTTTTCCAAGGTCACAAATTATATTCTTACATTCTGCCCTTCCAAACACTTTAGACCACAATTGAATGTTATTAATAATGCATGTTATGTTCGTATAACAGAATACATAATACGAACATCAAGTGAAAAAAAAAAGCACAAAAGCAAAGACAGTAAATGCATGTATTCAAATATACATGCATATATATGTACATGAATGCATAATACATACATACATACACAGACTTGCACATGCATACTTACACATGAATTCATACTCATACATACACTGTCATACATACCAATGCATACACTCTCATACATGCCCATACAAAGGAGAGAGAGAGATGTTAAAGGTGAGAGTATTGACTTAATTGCAACTCACGTTTATCCAGTATGGCTCAGTCTTATCTCCACAAAATAGTGGTTATTGCGAGCCTTTGTCACTGTCCCTTCTGAAACAAATTGTCACACTGCAGTCATAGCAAATCCAAGCACATACCCATATACTAAATGCATAAGGCAACAATCAGAAGTCCATCACAAACAGTCTTACTAAATGCAGCATTTCATTGTTCAGGGAAGCAGCAGTTACAACAGATCAGTAGTTACACATGCAGTTAACCGCATAAGGCACCACAAATTCTCTGGCTACAGGCCACTCACCATGTTCTGAAACCACATTAAGCACAGTCGAAGAAGCTACTATGGCTACCATTTTATACAGTACGGCCCAGACTTTACCTTTGCCTGACATAATAGAAGTCTGGTCCACAGGAAAAACCCTCCTAGTTTTCCCAGAATTTGCCCAGATGGAGATTGGGAATGCAGCCCTTAGGTGCACAACCCAGCAGACGAATGGTGATCTTTGTAGGAGACATTTTGATATCTATGTTTTTTCCTAACTTGCAGGTTGTCCTCCAGTAAGCAGTCGAAGGTGTTTTTGCCTGAGTGTCCGTTCCCTCACGCTGATGTAAGTAGTTTGACAGTGTGCTGGAGAAATCTTAGTCTCTGTTTAAAGACCATCATTATTGACATAGACACTGTCTTAAACCCCTGTGTGGGTTCCGGGGCCCTATTATAGGGAAAACAAGAATAGACCCACTGCCTGCCCAAAAGCATGTTGTAACTTGTAACAGTCGACTAATTTGGAGCTTCCTTCGAAGTTGGAGTGTATCTGCCTGATATGCAAGGAACCAACAGTCTACACTACTATGTGTCAGATCTGTCAAACGGATGCACACACAACACTCAGGTTCTGGAACAGGACTGCAGTCCAGAAGTGGACAAACAACCAGAACTTTCCACCAGAGTGCTGGTGAATGCAAAGAAGAAGAAGAACTGTCTCAATAACTACATCATGGACAGCTGTAGTATTAAGATGAAGTAACACAGTGGCTAGCAAACTTGCATGTCAGTCTAAAGGTGATAAGTTTGAATCCCTGTTGATCTCCATGTGGGATCCGGGCCCCATTTTTGGGAGAAAACAAGTAGACCCACTGTCTCCCTAACAAGTGTATCATACACGGCGACTAATTAGGCAATGTTTCCTTCTTAATTAGATTGCAAGGACCACCAGTCTGCATACAAATAAGCCAGTTCTGTAAAAAATGTGCACGCAAAACTCAAGTAGTGGTAAAATACCAAACTCTAAAAGAGGATGAACAGCCAGAACTTTCTGCCAGTGTCTATAGCCAGTAAACTCTAAGAGGAAGTGAAGAATCTATGTTGAGGCAGAGAATTAGCGTCTGCCTACACTGCCTGGTTGATCCAGTCTCAAATTGAGACAGAATTTGTCCTCAGAAGTTAAGACAGACCACAAGAATGAACACATGGACTTTATTTTAAGAGGATTAAGAATTGGCCTTGCATGTTGGCCTTTCTAAAATTCTGCTCTTCTATTCTCTCTCCGTGTGCGCCTCGTTATAGAAACAAGTGTACTTAAAATACATGACCAACTAGTCACCCCTAAAAAAAAATTGTCTTCATTGGCCAAATAGAGCTTAGAATCCACAACTGTGGAATGCCAACAAAACTCATCTCAAACCATTGAAATAGCACCATATGTTACTTAAATTTGTATTAACCAAGCATACGTCGAATAACTTGTTTCTATAGCAAAGTGCATACGTTATTTGGAGGTGACAGGTTTTATTCCCGGCACGGTAACTAAAAGTTTCAGTGTTGAATTTGTCTGGTTTGTCTTTCTATCTTTCTACTTCCTTTTGTGAGTGCTGATCAATACATCATCTGTTTACTTATTTTATATATATTCCGTAATCACAATGCCCTGAAGCTGACCCAGTCAAAATGAGTCCAGGGTGACTCATGAGACATAAAACCGAACACAAAACTATACAAAGTATCATTTGGTCCAGAGGTTACCAATCCTGTATTATATTCCCAACATGCATTGTGGCATGAATACAGAACCCATTGATTTTATCTGTTTATTCTTTTTGTTGGCGAGATCATCGTCTTAAAGCAGGTACTCTACAGAACATCTCACTCATAACAGCCCACCTGAAAGAAACTCAGTCTCTCTTCAGCTGTCACGCCTCATGCACTTTCCTACTCAATGTGTCTCTTATGGGCTGTGCTTATCTTCATGCTGGTTGGTCCCTATCCTTCTTGACTGGAACCATGCCTTCCGCTATTTCTTTCCAGTTCACCTTTTCATTTGATATGGCCAAAGTATTTCAGTTTCCGATAAATGAGAAATTAATAAATAATGAAACAGATTCACTGCCAGTAAATGTTTTCTAATGTTTATCTTGTGTTGTATCCACAGCTTCTCAGTAAGGGAAGATTGAAAAACTTTTCCAGTATTCACAGTGAGTTTGGTATTTAGCTGAGAGAATTAGCACATAGTAAAGTTGGGAATATGTTGGTTTGTTGTGGTTGTACCTTGAAATGAGTACTGTTGGTCTCTTGTGGTAATCACTTGATAAAAGTGAAGTTGGGAATGTGTTGGTTTGTTGTGGTAGTTGCATCTAAAGGTACAGCTGACGGTATGTTTTCTATTCGTGATAGCCACTTGATAAATGTACAGTTGACAGTCTATTGGTCTGGTGTGGTATTCTTTTCTTTTTTTTTTCTTTTGCCAAATACTTCCTTTATTTTACCACTTTTTGGAGGGGGGGGGGGGAGAGATCTTTGAGTCTAGGGGTTTTTTTTTTGCCCAGTCAAAAAATCTCCAGCCTTACCGAGGATTCGAACTTGGGTCTTCCGGTGTGGTGTTATTTAGCAAAAGTACTTTGAGTTCTTGACTGGAAATAAATTGGTCTACTGTGTGTGTTGTTGTTGGCAAATTTTAATCGTTCCATGTAACACATATGTTGTAAAAGGCAATGGTTATGGGCTTTGCTAAAATTGGATGTGTTGGGCCTAAATTTGCTAATATTACAGTCTAGCTGTAAACCGCAACACAACACCCTTTTATGGGCAAACACAGAAGAAGAATCAGAGACAATGATAATAATATGGGAAGGACACATGATAGTCTAGTTGTGATAGTCTCTACAGAAAAGCAAACAGATTTGTGTAATATTGTACTTTACAATGTAGTAGGTAGACATCTAGTTAGCATAAACTGTGTGTAAGAGGCAGGGTTTAAGAAAGCCACATGCCAGAAAAGACAAACATGAGGTTTAGCACGATGATTGTGCAGCACAAGAATAACTGAGTGATGTTAGGACAATGTGTGGGAATTGAGTGGATGATTAAAAGGGTAAAAGAACCCAGGGTCATTCTGTTTGGCGCTTGAACGGGTTGCAAGTGAAGTTACAAATGCATAGGTATCAGCAAGTTGAATCTATTTAAGCTGCCTACAGTGAATTAATTGCATTTCGCCATCTGAGAGATGATAGAATGGCAGTGGAGAACGGAATTAGAGGATGAATGCTGACGCTGACATCCTGTGAGTGTGAAAGGGAATATTTGTTGACAGAAGAATATATGCTGCAACTAGTGATACCAGTACGAATGTTCAAAGATGAGTCAAGAGCCTGTTTTTCCAGCCCTAGATGTAATAGCGACAGTAGACAGTATGGTATGCATCTTAGAACAGCGAATAAATCTTTCATGTTTAGCAGTGTGTTCTGCCCATATATTGGGGACTGCAGTGTGTGTTTTCGCAGTTGCTGACATTGAATGGGATATCAGAGATCTCACTAAGTTTGCAGTGCAGTTATTTCAACACAGGGAAGCTCATTACAAATGCCAAATTTTAGATTGTTGTGGTAAATAAAGTCGTGGACCCACTTCAATGCCTTGTGGTATATTAGACATATGATGCTAGCCCCGTTTGTTCATAGATCTCTTCTTCTTCTTCGTCTTTAGTCATCTTCTACCTTTCTTTTTTAGCATCAGATTTTGAAAGAGGCATTGAGTGTGAGTCTTGGTATGTGCAATGTAGGTGCTGGCATTTACAGCCTAGGATATTTCATCTGTCCATCACTGGCCTGGTTTACCTCTACATCTGCTTGCATTGTGTCTAGGTGACAGTGCTCTTTGTGGTGGACTATCTGGTCTGATGTTTATTGAACAGCTGTGATCTGTCATTGAACCACAGATGTAGGCCTTCGTTTACTTCTTTGAAGACAATTAGCTGCCAATCCTCACATTGGACTGCAGGTTATTTTGTAACGATACGCATGCCCTTATATAACCATGTTTTACTGTAGAACAGGGTTTGTGGGATTTGCTCCTGTTTTCGTCTTCCTCTTCGTGTTCACCAGCTGTCAACTCTAGGGGAAAGTTCTGCTTGTTCATCCACCTCTGGACTTTAGACGTGTTCCAGAACCTGAGTGTTGCATGCACATTTGTTTTACAGATCTGACTTTTTCGTATGCAGACTGTTGGTTCCTTGCCATACAGGCAGATGCACTACGACTTCGAAGGAAAACCCCAATTCGTCGACTCTTATGATGGGCTTATTTAGGAGGCAGTGGGTCTGTTTTTGTTTTCCCCACCATGGGGTTCCATAACCCACAGGGGGATGCTCCTATTTGATCTCACCTTTGAAATGTGAATCCTATAGATAACAATCCTGCAGGGAAACAATGACCACGAGAAAATGTATTACTATTTTCACACATGTCATTATAAACATGTTATTTTCAGCTGGTCTCACTACTGACTTCCATACACCGTGTATCCTGTTTGCTGGGCACCCGTCTCTTCGTATGGGGGACATTGTGCACTTCATTGAGCTGTGGGGCAACTCTTCGGCAAACACAATTATTTTTACAGGTACTTTTGTGATTTGTTTATTCTTTGTCTTGATGTGCTTTGTCGACTGGCATGGCTTCTCAGTGATGTCAAAAACAACAGGTAAAGGTAAAGTCGGGAGATGTGAACCAGCGTCATTGCACACGGTTGAAAACCATAAGTGCTCTGCCACCAGTATGGACATCTGATAAGAAACTGTTTGCCTGTGTCGCCGTCCACATGCAACTCCGAAGCTACAGTGACGTTCCTCCATTTACCCCAGAATGTTAACTCCGGTGCTCGTTTGGTGAACCCTGGGAACCACCCGGTTTCGAACACCGTCCATGTTTACGAGTCGCAGTGGATTTGAAAGCGAGTCTCCTATCGACTGCTCTAACGTAGCCCCAAAAAACAACAGATTGCGCATCTTAATGCCTGAAATATGTTTTTTTAGTAGATCATATGATGCCCATGAGCCTACACATTTTCTTGACACAGTCTTAATGTAGGACAGTTTAAACAAATATGAGATGTGAATAACAAATGGAGTATGGAGAGAGGGTAGGAAAACCTGGCAAAGGGCAGGAGCAGCACAGTGTGATCTTGTTGAAGGCTTGTGTTCTGTTGGCAGATAACAGGGGGGAAAACTTCACACATATAACTTATACACTGCACACATGTAGCCTAAATAAATTGATCTGTTATTAAGTTTGTCAGTGTATGTTTTCCACAGAGCCAGACTTCCCTCACCTGGACGCTCTGGCACCTTTTCTACCTCTAGCCATGCGGGTAAGGCGTTCTGCTGGCGGCAACAATAGTGACCCATTATACATTAATTTACAATTGTAAACTCATGTAACCTACTTTTTATTTATTCTTTTTTCCATCTTCTATAATCCCATTTTTGGTGTAAATGCAGCGTGAATGTTCACAACAGATCTTTGGTATTTGCATCTTTTGACTGACACATTCAACTTCTCTGAGCATTGTAGTGAGTTTTTTCTGACATACCTAATACTTTTTCTCTGTGTGTGTGAGTGATAATTTTTCATGCATTATGCCTGTTTACAACAGAGCTACAACTCGTCCAGCTTCAGATTTTTGTTGACAGGGTCATACCTCATTATCATCATCAGGTGCCTTGCCGACTGGCGTGGACGATCATGCCTCTCCACAGTCTGCGATCTTCTGCAACATGTATCAGTTTGTGTGTTGACACACCTCTGTGCCATGTAACAAGACTGTCAAGAATCTTCTCACGTTGTCTTCCTCTATCCCTCCTCCCACAGATCTTTCCAGTGGTCACAACATGTTCCATTTTCCCTCTTCTCATAAAATGATGACCGTCTCCTTCTGATGTCTGTGATAAGTTGTCTTCGGGCTCATACCTTCATACCTACAACATCCTAACTGGATTATTCAGTAAGGTAACATGAGCCCAGAATGATTGTTAGATGCAGTAGATCTCCAACACTTTTCGCCTTTCCCTGGGCTAGTATTATTTTGACAGGCTTATTTGTGTCAATAGATCCTTTTTCTCTTGTGTGGCTTCTTCTTCTTCTTCTTCTTCTTCTTCTTCTGTGGCTGCTGCAGTAGATCTCCAAATGTGTGTGTCTCTCACTGGGGTAGGACCATATTTATGGACTTATTTAAGTACATAAGTTCTTCTGCTGGAGCTGACGGGTTTGCATTTAAAAAGTCAGCACACCCAATGTCTGCAAACTCCTGATTAGTCACCACTTATGGCTTTTTTGTTAGGGGACTTTATTCTGTTCTTTTCCATTCAGAAATGGCATTAATTACCATTATCATCAAGTTTCTTGCAGACTTGCATTGATGATTACTCTACTCCAGATCTTGCAATCTCCAGTAGTGTGTATCTGTTTGTGTCCTGACACCTTTCCCATGCAAAGACAAAAGGTTGTCAAGAATCTTCTCTCTCTTTGTCTTCCTCTTTTTCTCTGTGCATAAATCTTTTTGATTGTCACTTGTTTCATTATTTCTTTTGTAATGTTATCCCATCTCTTTCTGATGTTTTTAAAGAAGTTATCTTCAGATTTTAGACTTTCAAAACATTTGGATTACTTGTTTTATCTTAGCAAGGAATTTTTTATTTATAGGCATAAAATCTATCCTTAAAGTGAAGAGGGTAGATCACAGGAAAATACAAGGCCCAACTTATATAGTATAAATTCAGTATCTGATGGTTAATCCATACTTCAAGAGCTGAATATTGAAGAGGGTTGGCTAGTAAAGACAATAAAACAAAGAAAATTGAAATATTTTGGTCACTTGAAACGTCATGGAAGTCTAGAGAGAACAATAATGGAGGGGTATATGCCTGGGAAGAGAGGAGGAGGAAGGCCAAGGAGAAGATGGGTGCAGGATGTGGCAGATGATCTCCAGATGGGTGTATCAGACGCAGGACATCTTGCTCAGGATAGGAAGGTTTTCCGGAGGGTTGTTATGGCAGCGAGGTTCCGCGAGGGACATGCTACTGAATGAATGAATGATGGTTAATGGTTAAAACAATGAATCAACATCATGGCACATGGGCAGTAACCCATAAGTGTTACGTACTTCTTACTCAAGCTGAGTCTGAAGAAACTCAGTGCAGTGCATGAACTCCGTAGAACCTGTGAGGATCCAGAACTACTATGGGTAGATTTTTAACTCCAAACTTTGCCCAGGCAGAGTTAGGCTGCTCTTTTCGATTTCCAAATGCCAAGGGAAATTTGTTTATGTGCGCAATAATACACATGGGTGTCTGATCCGTTTGAAAACACAGTGTGTCATGCAGTTAAAATTCACTGTCTGTTTGAAGGCACTGTTTACAGGCAGTATAAATTAATTACATGTGTTTGAAAGCATAGTTTATCTTTCAGGGTAAAAACATATTATTTATTTGAAAGCACAACTTATAATGCAATTTGTATGTTTGGAAGCAGTTCATCATGTATCTTTATTCAGTATAGCATAATTTATCATTATCTGATTTTTGAAAGAGCACGGTTTTTATCATTATATATCTGCAGGTGTGTTACTGCCCTATTGACACCAGCCTCAATTTCTCCCAAGCCAACAAGTTGATTCGTGACCTTCGACCCCTGCACCTGGTGGTGTCAGAAACATACACCAAGCCACCAGTTTTAGAACCACTACGTAATGATCTCACCATTGACTTTGTAAGAAAACATACATTTGTTCATATTTATGTGTCACCAAGATATTTAAAAACAAAATACATTATAAGTTCACATTCATATAAAAGTAGGGATGTGTCATTGAAATATTGGAAAATCATTATTGGTTCACATTTGTATTAAATCGTTAACAACGATTACTTGAAAGAAGCTAATAAAAGTAGATCTCTATATACAACAATAAGAAGAAGAAAAACACTATTCTTTGGCAACATAATGAGACGAGAGACATTGGAGAACATCATGGCAACTAGAAAGATCAGTGGAAAAAGGGGTAGAGGCAGACCAAGAGAGCTGTTCCAGGCAGCTAGAGGTCGTGATCTGTGGAGACCCATGAGCACCTACGCCAGTTGGCAGGGCTCATGATAATGATGAAGAAGAGATATGACAAAACCATTATTGGTTCACATTTTATACAACTAGGAACGTGTCAAAGATAATAGAAAATTCATTTGTCAGTTCATATTCTTATTAAACCAGTAGAATCTCACTGGAATGTAAGATTGATTCACTTATGTCTGCATTCACATTAAACCAGTAGAATCTCACTGGAATGTAAGATTGATTCACTTATGTCTGCATTCATTCACATTAAATGTAAGATTGATTCCAGTAGAAATCTCACTGGAATGTAAGATTGATTCACTTATGTCTGCATTCACATTAAACCAGTAGAATCTCACTGGAATGTAAGATTCACTTATGATTCACTTATGTCTGCATTCACATTAAACCAGTAGAATCTCACTGGAATGTAAGATTGATTCACTTATGTCTGCATTCACATTAAACCAGTAGAATCTCACTGGAATGTAAGATTGATTCACTTATGTCTGCATTCACATTAAACCAGTAGAATCTCACTGGAATGTAAGATTGATTCACTTATGTCTGCATTCACATTAAACCAGTAGAATCTCACTGGAATGTAAGATTGATTCACTTATGTCTGCATTCACATTAAACCAGTAGAATCTCACTGGAATGTAAGATTGATTCACTTATGTCTGCTATCACATTAAACCAGTAGAATCTCACTGGAATGTAAGATTGATTCACTTATGTCTGCATTCACATTAAACCAGTAGAATCTCACTGGAATGTAAGATTGATTCACTTATGTCTGCATTTACATTAAACCAGAACTATCTCACTAGAATGTTATATAAGAAGCCCATTCATTGGGTTGTATACATAGCTAACCAGGGGTCTCTTCCTGGAACGTCAGGAAACCGCTAATGTGGTTTCTGTTGACAGTAAATCAGTTGTGTGTTCATACAATAAATGGTGAAGAAATTAAAAATGTCACAAACTTTGAATATCTAGGCTCTATAATAAACAGCAATGGAGATTGTTCAACAGAAATCAAAAGGAGGATGGCCTTAGCAATGCAAAGATTGAACAGCCTTAAAAGTCTATGGTTAAGCACCAGCAAGGAGATCAACATTCGATTGTATGTGGCTACATACAGATGTGAGTCGTGGACTATTTCTCAGTTGTTAAGAAAGAGAATAGGGGCTTTTAAGCTGAAATGCTATAGAAAGATTCTTAGAATATCTTGGACAAAGAAGATCTGAACATCAAGGAAGAATGGCTAATAAACAGCATCCTTTCTCGAAAGTTGAAATATATTGGTCATATCAAGCGCCACGATGGATTAGAAAAAATTATAGCAGAAGGCATGGTACCAGGAAGGAGGGGCAGGGGCCGACCGACACGAAGATGGGCACAGGATATAAGTGACTCCTTGAGTGTGAAAGTGCTTGAGGCGGGAGAATTGATGAGAGACCGAGTTTCTTTCAGGCAAACTGGGATGAGAGCGACGTTCTGCAAAGAACCTGCTACATGATGATGATGATGTGTTCATACATTTACTGATTTGGATAATATTTCTTTACCTGGCTGTGTACATTTGGGCTTTCATCACCTTCTGTTCAATCATTTGGGTGCCCTCTCCGCAGTGAAGGTTGACGCTGTGATGCATCTTTTCTTAGACTGCTGTTCAACCATCTCTTGATGCTGTACTCTCACTGGTATCTTTGTATTCCTATTGCTGTCATGCCTTTGATTTTCTGTCCAGTCTGGTTTTTAATGGATCCGGACTTTAAAAGAAGAAAAAAACCTGACCTTGGCTCCCTGGTCAGCTAGCCTTTAATGGATACGAGGTAAAGTCCTGAGAAGTAAAGACAACTGGCATGATGTTGAGGACATTACTCCCTGTGTGCCAGTTGGTCTATAAAATATAGGTGCAGCCCTATATGCCCAGTGCACCTTGAGGTGTGGAAAAGAGCGCTTTACTGACTTTACTGTGGTTTTTTAAAAGAGTTATGTCCGTAAAAGTGGCCAGAATATTTCAACAAGTTTCTTCTTTCTTTCAGCAACTCTACCAGCCTGTTCAGAACCTCTGTAGTTAGTTATTTTTGCTCTGCTTCCATGAAAAATGTTTGTTGCACATCCTTTACAGCAGATTGCAGAACCAACCCCAGCATTTACTGCCTGTTTGTGCTTTTACTAGGCAGTTTTATTCTCAGTAGTTTGCCATTCTTAGATCCCAATACTTTTGTTGAATTCAGCGCAGAGCAGTCTGCTACCAAATTGCCCACAGCTGGAGTAGAACCAGGTATTTCAGAAGTTCAAATGACATATTCAGTGCCTGAGTCACAGACGTCAACGAAATTTTAACTTCAGACCTTCTTTATCTGAATGTCTGTATTTTCGTATGGTTTTAATTTTATACCTTCTAAAATAGTTAAATATTTGAACATTTATGATATTGTATTGCTATTTATTTGTTAACTTATGATGATGCTTCCTAACTGGTATTATTGTTTTACTCAGTGCTAATGCTTGGTTTGTGTGTGTTCTCTCTGGATAAATAGAAGTCCTGATAAGCGGAGGCATTTTCTTAGGTCTCTGTGACTTTTACTTATCCAGACTCAACTGTATTTTTCTGTATATCCATACCTCTAGAGACACTGTTCGATTTTCGAATCGCTTGTTCATTGTCCAGGTTTCTGAACCTACACTTCTGTTATTTGTGGTTGGCCAGCTGAATCTAGCCCTCAGAGGTGTCTAGCAAGTGGCCAGGGGATCACCTGCCAATTGTATTGTGTTAATGATGTTTCTACTCTAGGGCTCAGGCCTTCAGTCCATGACGATCCACGTTTTCAACAATTTGGCCCCTTGGTCGGCTTACTTAAAAAGCCTCGTAGTAGAGTATGCGTAACATTTGACAGTTCTCAATTTTATTATGGCCTCCTATTACATTGCAAAATTTAGTGTCACATTTATTATCATTGTGTGCCTTGCCAATAAGCATAGCCAGTCAAAGGTTGATATCTTATTTGATTACCAGAATCACAGATCAGGTAGTAGTAGTAGATTTTTACCCCACTAGGACATCACAAAAGCGATAAACACCAAATGACACAAAGTGCCACCATGTGGATGAGGATCACCGTGAAGAGGTCCCAGAAACCACGATCAGCCATTAGACCATATTTATGGTAGGGCTATATTGCGGCCCCTGACAAGAGCCGGAGTATGGCTTCAAATAACAAAAAAATTGCATCTCACAAGAAGATGACTGGGTTAGACGGTATGAGACACACAGATCAGGTCATGTTTTAGTCCTGACTAAGCCATTCATGTATGTACCTTTTTGGCTTCTTGTTCTTTCTTCAGGCAAATTCGCCAGTAGTTAAGTTTAATATATAAAACAAAATCTTATTGATTACAAATATATCTTTTTTCTTCTAAAAATAGAAGTGATCTCATGTGCTTACTAATTTGAAAAAAGTGTTGTTGATTGTGATGCAATAGCCATTTTCACACATGTGCACATTTTGGTTCACTTTGTAATGCAGGAACCGTCACCGCTGACTTACAAGCAGGGTGAGGTACTGTCCCTTCCAGTGAAACGTCAGTTCGAGGTTGTGGAAATGGAGCAAGAGGTGAGCGACCAGTTTTTGTTAGTATTTGTGCTGTGTCAAAAAAACACGCTGTGAGGCGTGAACCTCAACAGCTGAAATTAAAAGAAAATACAAGCATTGGAAATGCGATCTGTAAGAAAAATTATTGGCATATCATAGAGACCAAATGACAAACATTGGCAATTTTGAACCTCTTTTAACTACAGTGAAAAAGAAGAAATTCAATGGTGCGGACATGTAATAAGATCTAAAATGTTTGTCAAAAACAATACTACACAATGCAGTAGAGGGTAAGGGGAGAAGAGGCAGACCAAAAAAGATCTGGATAGAGAAATTGACTGACTGAACAGGACTTAGACATGCAACCAGAGTCCACTGCATATGAAGGGAGCTGAGAAATCAAGCAACAGTTACTGATGACCCAAAGACTTGAAGTGCTACAAGATGGTGATGATGATGATCAATAATACATCAGTTTCTCCTCATTGTTGTTGGCATCATTTCGTTTTTCCATTCAATATTGTTGTATTTTGCTGTTGGGAGGCAAGGGAATGACGTTCCTGCTCTCATAACACAAAGCATAGGCAGTGTTGTAGAGAGCATGTGTTGTCAGTGCATCATGATCCCTCCCTCAGCCTGCCTTGTTTACTCCAAAGGAAAGGTAACACCAGCACGTTTGGAACAAAGCACACCACAGAAGCTGACAGATCAGTGCTCTGTCTGCCTGTCAGAGCTTTTCCCCTAGACAAGCTGCCAGCCAAGGCAAAGGGCCTGGTCTTCTCTGCCTTAACATGATGTTTTCAGGTTGCATGTTCTAGGATAAGGCTAGAATCCTCCCCCAAAGTGCTCCTTTGCTTGAAGCCTTCCTTTAGCACAGGGTGAAATTTGAGGTTTGCTATACACCATCTAACATTCAACATTACCAGATAACATACCAACTACTGTTATACGGCAGCTCAGTCCTATCTGACCAATACCTGACCACTTTACCTCATTAGTGTTTATGCTATAAAGTAAAACATATAATCGAATGTATGCATTTGCCATCTATGCTTTGGTGTTTTTAAACTTGATATTCATATTGTGTAGGGAATGTAAGGTGACACTTTATATTGAATGATACTATGAACTGTACCATACTGCTGACAGATTTGGGCTGTAAAATTTGATAAATGTGAATGTGTGTGTATTTTTCTTTTTTTTTTTTTTTGCATTGATATTGAATTGCACACAACTTTCTAAATTGATAAAACAATACAATTCAATATTTTGTATGTCATGAAATTTAGTTTATATTGTTGTCAGAAAGTCAGACTCTTTTCAATTAACATCTGGTTTAAAGCAATGGGATGCTGTGTCCCCACTTCTTGTCATCTTGGCCCTGGAGAAAATTATTAGGGAATTGAAAGAAGAGTGTACTTTAGGAGAAACTACAAGAGTACTTGGTTGTGCAGATAGTGTTGGAGACAATGAACTAGAGATGGTAAAAACTCTATCTTAAAATAAGCAGCTCACAGATGGGACTAGTTATCAGTTAAGATAAGACAGAATACATGATAATAACAAGACAGCGAAAGGATATAAACTCCTGCCACATACCGGTCAATAATACAAAAATCAAATGACCGAAAACATCAGTACTTGGGTGAAAACTTCAACTGCTCCAACATGCTGAGAGAAGAAATACAATCTGAAATACAAACAGGAAATAAAGTATACTTTGGCCGTCAGAGTCTCTGTCTCCCAACACCAAGATCAAAGTATGTAAAACATTGATAAGACCAGTAGTTTTTTATGGTTCAGAAACTTGGAGCACAACTAAAAAAGATGAACCTCATTACAAATTTTTTTAAATAGAGCCTTATGTTTGGACCTATCAAAGATGCAAACAATGGAGAGTGAGAAGCAACAAGGTAATGCATAATCTGCTTAAATCACTATTGATCACTGGCATCATGAGAGCTACTAGACTGAAATGGCTGGGGCATATTGAGAGAATGTCAGATGACAGAGAGGTAAAAACTATACACAAGGGAGCTGAATAGTCATAGACAGACCAAGAAGATGATGAAGAGATAAAATCCAGACAGACTTGCAAACACTTGGTGTCACCAGAAAGGGAAGGCCATCCAGAGAGATGAGAGGAGGCAGGTGATATCTGCAGCAGTGAACCTCATGGTCTCTGAATGTTGAAGATAAAGAAGGGCTATCTCTCGACTAATAGTCAGCAAAGATGGCGGCAGCAAAATATCCAGTCGAGCCACAGTCACGTGTCATACGTTGTAAACAGTCAAAAATTGAAGTGGAAACTAATAAGGAACGAAAACTAATAAGGAGCCACAAAAATGTTATATCAAATCGACTACTAACCGATAATTGTATGTCTTTACATCTAGAAATTATGGCACAGACGTTCTAAATAGTGCTCGAAAATCTGCTGTTTGTGGCTGTTACGCCATTGAAACTCGGCTAAGTACGATCGGAACAAGGCGCGGCTCGTACCGCATTGGTAACGCACCTTTCTTTTTAGTAGCATCCACAGACCGGCTATCCTCCGAAGAACGGGCACAAAAGATGTCGACAAAAAACAGGGCCTCACTCACATGTCAATTTCGAACTTCCAGCGACTTAATTTGCAGTTTTCCGGCGACTACTGCCACTGCCGAGAGTAGCCCCCACGCCGCTCATACGGCTTTGATTGGGGCTAAACTAGATGGCTAGGACTCACGAGCAAAGCTGCAGGAGATGCGGAAGCTGCTGCTTGTGGGTCCCAGCCATCTAGTTTAGCCCCATGTGCGCCGTGCTTAGCGACGCGGGGGAGACTCTCGGCGGCGAGTTTAACTTGGCGGTTTGTTCCGTTTCTCGAAATTGTCAACAGACACTATTCCTAGTTTTGCCGCGATGTGCTCGGGACCGCAAGTGCGCAATAGACACGTGACTGTGGCTCGACTGGATATTTTGCGGCCGCCATCTTTGCCGACCCTTAGTCGGAGGATAGCCCAAAGAAGATTGTTCTCAGGTAGAAGATTTTTCAGTTTTTTTTTTTTTTGGGGGGCACCAATCTACAGCCACATGATGAAGTAAAACAACAATTTTTTCTTGAAATTTGTTCTCCATTCAGTTTGGTGCAGTAAGTAAGTAAGTAAATTTTACCATCCACCCACCAAGACATCACACAGAGCAATAAACACCCTGTGACACAAAGTGCCAACATGCGGATGAGGATCACCCATGGAGAGGTCCAGGAAATCACGTTCAATCGTTAGGCTATATTGCGGCCCCTGGCAACAGCCAGAGTGGGGCTTCAAAATTATGAAAAATTGCATCCCGCAAACGGGATGACAAAAAATATCACGTTTGGTGCAAAAATACAAAATAAGATAAGTGTATGTGAAATAGTTGTGAAGCTTTGGCATTTTTGGTACACACTGAAATTTGTGGCATCTGGAAAAATTCAAGGGTTAATGGGCTTGAGGGTCAGTGGGGTAAATGTATTTCTCCAGCTGATATCTGTTTTGTGAGTTGATGAGCCAAACTGGTCCACAGAACTGACCCAATAAGTGAATCTCACTGATCCTACATAGCAACATTGTCCTGATTGGTGTATAAAAATATAGGTCTAGCCCTGTATGCCCTATATGCCTAAAGGCATGGAAAAGGGACCTTTACTTTTACTTTTTATAAAGCAACATAGTTCTTCAGGCGTCTTGTAAATGTTGAATGTATTTCCACAGCTGGCAAACACACTAGAGCCTGTAGAGGTCAAACCAGGGTCAGCGCTCTCCTTGGTAACAGCTTCCCTTGTTGCCAAGGACAACAAGTTTTTGCTCAAGGTAAGTTCTGTTAGGAGAAAAAAATATTTTCTGTTGGTTAGGGGGGGGGGGGGGGGGGGGGGAAAGGGGGGGGGGGAACTTGTTTTCTCAAACACTAAACTACTTCAAGTCACAAACCAAGAAACTTTAGACAGTATGATTACCAAGAGAAGATGGAAATGGCTTGGCCATGTTATGAGAATGACTTCTGATATACCTGCCAAAACGGCTCTCACATGGACACCAGAGGGAAAGAGAAAGAAGGGGCGCCCAAAAACAACATGGAGATGAACAATGGAGAGTGACCTGAGTGCGGCATCTTTGACATGGAAAACTGCACTGAAGATTGCACAGGACAGGAAAGCATGGAAAGTCCTCTCTGAAGCCTCATGTGCCACCAGGCATAACGAGAACTGATGTTACCAAACAATCCTAACAGAGCCATTTATGGACCAACCAAAAAATATATATATTCTTCTCTGGGCAAAAGGGTTAAGACAACCAATAATAGTGAAGTAAAGGACCCTCTCCATGACTGTGGTGTGTTGGGTGTAGAATGCAGGACTCAGATCTTTATAGAATTTCAACACTTCTGAGCTAGATATGTAATTCTTGTATTCTTAAACACTTGGAATCCTGCAGGTGCTGTGAAGTTTTAGCACTGTTAACCTTCGCATTGCAAACAAACCAGTAATACTTAATAGCATACCATAAATTTATGATTTTTAAGCAAATTGATCACGTTTTTCACTACAGCGACTGTCCAAAGAAACCCAACTGTCCCGAAAGAGAAGAGCCGATGGAAGTCTGCTGTGGCGCAAGCCCTATATTTTTGGGACGCCTAGCTTGCACACCATCGCTGATGCTTTAAAACAGGTTTGGAAAATGTTACTACTGTGGATCTCTAGTTATTTCTTCCTAATCTTCTACTTCTGCATTACCTGGCTATGAACTGCAGTAGGAAGTTCTGATTGTTTGTCCATATCTGGACTTAAGTTATGATTGTCTATATCTGGTCATAAGTTCTGACTGTTTGTCCATATCTGGACTTAAATTCTGATTGTTTGTCCATTTCTGTTCTTTTATCTTGTTCCAGGACTTGAGTGTTGCATACACATCCATTTTAGATGTCTAAGATTTTAGATGTCTTAGATTTTACATGTCTTAGATTTTAGATGTCTTAGATTTTACATGTCTAAGATTTTAGATGTCTTAGATTTTACATGTCTTAGATTTTAGATGTCTTAGAGAAAAGCAGCTGGAAAGTGCAGTTACAACTAGACTATGCTAGGGAAGAGAGACAGAGGATGACAGCAAAAAGATTTTATAGCTTTTTGTCATGGCATGGAAGGGTGTCAACACAGAAGCTAAACAGGCTGTCGGAGTTCATAAGTTGTGGAGAGGCATAATTGCCTACGCCAGTGAGAAGGCACTTGATGATGGTGATGTGGGTTTTTCGGGGTCAGCCTTTGACCCTATTGCGTTGAGGTGTTTGTGTGAGAGGATTGACTTTGTTACATCTGGTCTTAGTCCACATGGCTCTGTCTCACTTCTGCCAGAGGGGTTGTCACAAAGCACAAACTCTATAGCTCCAGTTATGATTCCTGGAGATCTCAGAAAAATTGCGCTTGTAAAACAAAAAGTAGTCCAGAAAAATAAACCCATGACTTTCAGAACAGCAGACAAATGTCTTTGACCACTTGGCCACAGAGACCATTGACCAGCTACTACTGTTTGCCATCATCAGGGTCTAATTTCCACACCTTGAGATGGCATGGCTGTATGTTACTAGCTTCTATTTTCCTTGATCAGTCGGCATTTATTGCGAGCTGTGGTGGTACAGTGGCCACATGCTCTGCCTGCCGGCCTGAAGGCTGTGGGTTTAAATTAATATTGAGTTTTGGTTTTGTAAAATTACCTTTGCTCCAGTTCAACTCAGCCTAACAAGTGTACGAGGTAAAGTCTTGGTACAGGCGGTAGCCATGATTGTCCATCGAGGGGCAGTTAGTCGATAAAACTATGAGTCTGGCTGGTCAGTTAACGATATGGGTCCAGCATCATATGCCCGGTACACCACTGGCGTGAAAAGGGACCTTGACTTTACTTACAACACTTGCTAGGTGATGCTGTCAGCACATCATGCCTTTACTTGTGAACCCAAACCCTGATCCATTGTAGACCGCATGTCCATTGTAGCCAAAGAAAATCATAGTGCCATTTGTTGGTCCTAAACGTGAATGATTAGATCAATGTAAGCCCAGAAATGTCCCTTACACTGTGGTCTTCTTTTTCTTGTGTGCTCACCCTTAAATGAGTGGTTAGCACATTGTGTTATAGTTTACAGCTGTCTATGGCATATGTGCCTTCTGCCAAACACATCCAGTTTCAGCAGAATTCTGAGTTGCCTTTTATGATGTGTCTGTTAGGGGCAATTTGTCATTATCCCCCCCCCCCCCCCCCCACCACACACACACAAAAAACATAATTGGGATCTTGAGAACTCACCGGAAGAATTGAGGTTAAGAGTGCTTGGGTTGATGAGATGGAGGTGATATTAGTCAGTTGATTTTCAGTTGATACACTTATGTATTGTTTCCTGGATTGTTAACTCTTTGGTTACCAGACAACTGGAGATTTGACTGGACATAGAGGTTTGACTGGGCCAAGATATCTGACTTGGGGTAGAGATTTAAGTGGACCAAGAGATTTAACTTCACGAACAGAGACTTGGCCAAGAGATTTGATTTGCCTAGAGATTTGAACTTGAGTTAGAGATATGACTGTGCTAAGATATCTGACCTAGGTTAAAAATTTGTGGACCAAGAGATTTGATTTGCCTAGAGACTTGAACTGGAGGTAGAGAATTGACTGTGCCAAGATATCTGACTTGGGGTAGAGATTTGTGGACCAGTAGATTTGACTTTGCGAACAGAGATTTGACTGACTAGGCCTAAAGATTTGAACAGGAGTAGAGAATTGACTGTGCCAAGATATCTGATTTGGAGTAGAGATTTAAGTGAACCAAAAGATTTGACTTCATGAACAGAGATTTGCCTGGGGCAACAGATTTGATTTGCCTAGAGATTTGAACTGGAGGTAAAGATTTAACTGTGTCAAGATATCTGACTAGAGGTGGAGATTTAACTTTAGCAACCTATTTTTGATGGTGCTAAAGATATGGCAATACTTGCACAGATTTGACCATGCCAATAATTTTCACCGTACCCACTTTGATAGTTTTATTTTTAATACATTGATTAAGACAGTTTTTATACATTGATATAGACAGTTTTTTGTACACTGATAATAACAGGTTTTTGTTTTTTTAATCTATTGATGAAGATAGTTTTTTTTTAATCTATTCATAAAGATAGTTTTTTTTTAAAAATAAATTGATTTTTTAAAAAGGGTGTTTTTTTAATCCATTGATATTGACAGATTTTATTAATCCTTTGATAGACAATTTTTTTTTTTTTTAATAAAGACTTTTTTTTTTAATCCATTGATAAAAACAGCTTTTTTATCCATCGATAACGATGGGGTTTTTTTTTAAATTTTTATCCATAGATAAAGACAGGTGGAAACTTGGGCTGTACCTGCGAATGTTTTTCCCCGTCCCCCTCGTAGTCATAGGTTGTACTGTGTTGTTTCATGAGATATACCAGCTGGGCACATAATGGTGATATCTGAAGATGCGTCATCGCCATTCTGTTGTGCCATTATATACACCACATTAGACACAGTCAGATTCTCCACTCCATTCTATCCTGTGCATTTAAAATCATTATGAAATCCAGATAAGAATGAGACAAACACTGTTCTTTGGCCACATAATGAGAAGAGAGACATTGGAGAACATTGTGACAACTGGAAAGATCAGTGGGAAAATGAGTAGATGCAGACCAAGAAAGATGATGCTGGATGGGCTGAAACGATGGCATGGAGGGATATCATCAAGACAGCTGTTCCAGGGATCGGGATCTGTGGAGATGCATGAGCGCTAATGCCACTTTGCAGGGCACATGATGATGATGATGACATCCAGTTGAGCACCATTGGCCTTTCTCAGAAATGTTTGTTTTAGAGTCCCTGTTGGGAGTCCCCATGGGGTTGGCAGCCAGATGCCTGCCTGCGAATTGGAAGGTCTTGGGTTCGCGCCCTATGGGACCAGACTTTCAAAAATGACCTTGACTCCCAGGTAAACCCAGCTTTGAGTGTGTACCAGGTGTATTCCTAGGAAGCAAAGGTGGTCAAAATGATGCTGACCACATCACCCACCAAGTGCCGATTGGTCTATACAGATATAGGTCCAGCCCTCTATCCCCAACAGGCCTGAAAGGTGTGGGAAAAGGGACCTTTACTTCTGAGAGCCTCTGTTGGGCATCATTGTTTCCTCAGTGCATTTATTTCTCATTTCGGTGCATTTTTAGTGTGTCTTTTCTATGTCCACTTCTCAGATTTTGTCCAAATTGTTGCTGTCTTTTGTTTTCTGTTGATAAAAGAAGTTTCTCTTATTTATATCTGAATGTGTGTGAAGGGGAATAATTTTTTCTCTCCACAGCATGGGTTTTCATCTATCAAAGTTGAAGAGAGTGACACTGGCTCCATTATTCACTTGGTATGTACACGTATTTGTTGTATTTGTGTAAATAGCTTACCCACATTCTATATGTGTGTGCAATCCACATTTTATATGTGTGCAGTGTACCCACATTTTATATGTGAGCAGTGTGTATGTATGTGTTAAGTGCCAACATTTTGTGTGTGGGGGTGGGGTACAAATGTAAATAGCTTATCCACATCTCAAAAACTTTACCACCCACCTGCCCTTCCATGATCTCTCTCAGTTCTGCCATAGTGTCACTTCCATTTCTGTTTCTTTATCATCTTTCCACCGTCTAACCCCATCTGCTGTCTCTCTCTCTCTTCCCTACTTTTGCACTTTGACCTCTGTCATACCCAGATGTGTAGCACCACCATCATAGCCATCAAAGCACTCTAACCATCATCATACCTCAAAGTACCCTGGCCTTAATCAAACCCATACAGTATTGTGGCTTTCTTAAGAGTTCTATATCTTATGATGTAACTTCTGATGCAAGATGCCTTGCAGAAATCAAGACAAGAATGGCAATAGTGGACGTTAGCAAGATGCAACAGTCACTAATAAGAAGTTGTCAACTGCAATGAGAAAACAGATGTTGAAGTGCTATATGGAAAATGTTTCCAGCCAAGAGAAACACTGGTGCAAGCCAAACTCTATGGATCGCTGAGTGAATCACAAAAGACAACGAAGTTCATACTAGAGACAACATTTCAGATTTAGGTAATCTATTTCAAGCGAACGAACGAAGAAGCTTCCAGACGCTCAGCTGCATTTCTAGTGCTGGACTGTTTGTACTGGCATATCTGACAGCTGCTTTATGCATTTATTATGGGTGTATGCTATTGGCTTTGCTGAGAATGCGGTCTGTATCAGTTTTTCCACAAGGAACAGTGATGGACATTCTGTGTGGTTTTCGTTGGTGCAGGAACAAAGCAGCTGTGGGGGGCCACCCATTTGCTGTAAAGTTGGAACTGTATTTACCTGATCAGCTGTGACGTTTTATGCCAGACATGGACAGTAAGCACTGATGACAATTTTCACTGGCACTGAAGATGTGGCTTTTGAGAAGAATGCAAAGAATTTCATGGAATGATGGAAAAATAAATGAGGCAGTATTTCTTGAGACAGATACAACTTGTTGACTGATAAGATAAATTAGACGTGGACAGTCGTCTTTTTCGGACATGCTATGAGAAGGAAGACTCGAAAACCTTGTAATGACTGGGAAGATTGATGGAAAGAGAGCAAGAGGAAGGCAAAGAGATAAATACCTCAATGCCTTGGCCACATGGATGGGGTGAGACAATAAAAAACACATTGACCTGCTCCGTGATCATGTGAGATGTTGCAACATGACAACTTAAGGCTTATCGGTATGGCACATGATGATGATGATCTTATGACAGTGAAAAACATCGTCTAAAAATGTCTTGTGTGTAATATCATATCAGGCTGCCACTCCCTAGGTTCCAGTGCTGCATTGTGGGAGAAAAGAAAAGACTCACTGCCTGCTACAAGCATATCGTAAAAGTAATCTAATTAGCGATGCTTCCTTCAGAGTTATGATGCATCTACTTGATAGGCGAGGAAACAAAAGGCTGCATCTGTGAAATGGTTGTGCACACAGAACTCAAGTTCTGGAACAAGACCAGAGTTTAGATAAACAACTAGAACTCTGCGCTAGAGTTAAAAGCAGTGGACTATAAACAGAAAAATAGAGCTGCCACATTTTCTAGTAAAAGTTTTGTTTTCTTTGGCAAGTTGATTTATGGTTAGTGTAAAACATTTTATATTTATGCAGGTAAAGGAAGACTCTCTGATCCAGGTGGATGGATCCTCCACACACATCATCTGTGACAGCGAGGATGTGCGACTGAAACTCAAAGATGTGATGTTGAAGTGCTTGAAACAGTTGTAGCTGTGACAGCGAGGATGTGCGACTGAAACTCAAAGATGTGATGTTGAAGTGTTTAAAACAGTTTTAGCTGTGACAGCGAGGATGTGCCACTGAAACTCAAAGATGTGATGTTGAAATGTTTGAGACAGTTGTAGCTGTGACTGCGAGGATGTGCCACTGAAACTCAAAGATGTGATGTTGAAATGTTTGAAACATTTGTAGCTGTGACAGCGAGGATGTGCCACTGAAATTCAAAGATGTGATGTTGAAGTGTTTGAAACAGTTGTAGCTGCGACAGCGAGGATGTATGACTGAAACTCAAAGATATGATGTTGAAGTGTTTGAAACAGTTGCAGCTGTGACAACAGGGATGTGCGACTGAAACTCAAAGATGTGATGTTGAAGTGTTTGAAACAGTTGCAGCTGTGACAACAGGGATGTGCGACTGAAACTCAAAGATGTGATGTGGAAGTGTTTGAAACAGTTGTAGCTGTCGACAGTCCTGCAGCATCCTGCCAGCTGATGTCTCTTGATGTGAGAATACTGGCTTGTTTAGTCAACAACAAGATTGAAAACAATATTATACTGTCGCGATTTAAGTGAAGTACCAATCAGCATCATAGAAGTTTGCATTCTTCACAGCCTTATGGTAATAAAATCAGTTGCAGGCTATTCAGGACTTGGCAAAATTTTGTGTGGCTGTTGTGTGGGTTTTTAATATACTGATATACAGAAGTGAATCATGGACAGTTGGTAAATTAGTGAAAAATTATTTGGAAGCTGCAGAGATATGGATTTATAGATACATTATGAGAATACTGTGGTTAGATAAAAAGAGTAATGAAAATGTCTCGACAGAAACTGACTCATGAAAAGAGCTGATTGCCCACATCAGAAAGAGACAATCAACATTCTTTGGTTGTGTGATGAGATGGAGAAAACTGGAGTACCTGTGGCAGTAGGAAAGTTGGAGGGGAGACAGAGAGAAAAGATGCTGGACAGTGTGACATCATGGCAAAGATCATCTGTGTCAGAGTTGACTGAAAGTACGAGACAGAAGGTTGTGGATAGACATGACTACCAACACTACACAGCATGCACTTTGAAAAGAAAAAGAAGCGGGTTTTTAAAGGCAATTTGATTTACATTATTTGTCCATGTTTTGTTTTTTTACTGTTTGACAATCATACTGTTGTTGAAGTAAAGATCCCTTTTTATGCCTTTAGGCGCATTTGGGTATATGGGAAGAGCACCCATATTTTTACAGATCAATTGGCACTAGGTGGGTAATGTTGTCAGCATTATGCCAGCCGTCTTTATTCCCCAGGCAATACATCCTGGCAAGGTAGACCTGCGACGCCCCCATACCATGATAAAAATCCACACAGCCAGCAGTGGGTTTTGATCGAGGTACGCTGGAATTGCGAGTCGGACTAGCCATGGATGCCACTATACTGTTGTTAAATGCAAGACAAAACAATTAGTCGATACATTAACCTAAATGCACATCAAACATCAATTCAGTCTATTAGAGCTTATATCCATTCCTCAGCAAATCCTGCAGCTCATAGAGGCTGTTGACACCAGTTCTGTGATGGGTTATAGTGCTGTTTGGCCACATCCTGTTTAACTTGCTGCCCTTGCAGCCTGACAGTGGTTGCACTTTCACTATCCTCACCTGGTTCTTGTAAAATTCCTACTTCTCATAGAGAATTTTGTATATCAACCTGGTCCATGACTCCCCTGCCTTCCACACAGTAGCCTGACCTACAAACCTGTCAGCTTGCTCATTTCCTTGTACACCTGCATATGGCCTGGCACAACACTGAAACTGACTTTTGTCTGCCATGACTGCCTCAGAGACACCAACCACTGTTTTCTGATCAAGTCCTTCTCTATCTTAAAAAGCATACTCATTTGACTAGGGTATCATGGCTGCACCATTCTCTCCAGTACGGATCTATGTCCAAACCGGGGCCAGGAGGCTGGTGTAAAATGACTATATAATCACACCCTCACCCCTTTTTTTTCTCCCTTAGTAATATGATTTCTGCAAATAACTAGCTTAGACACATTTAGGGCTACAGTATGTGTCTGGCCAGAGTGTAGTGACCCATTTATACATCTTATATTATTCAACAAAAATTCATGTTGTGAGGAAATCTAGGCGTTATGTTTATAATTTTTTTTTTTATATGGCCCATGACCAACAAAAAAGTTGTCAACCGTTTCTGTAAAAATTATTTACACATTTTTTTTTTCTTCAAAATTTATAAATGCATTAAAAAGGATAATAAAAAACAAAACATGAACAGAATGAAGCATTAAATGGAATACATCCCCTGGGGCGTCAGCTGCCAATTAGTGCCTTTATTATACCACTTGTGCAGTGTAGGCAGAGGAGCCTTCGAGCCTAAGGATTTAAGGCTGCATAGCTAGTTCTGTCGCCACAGACTGCAGGTGAGGATTTTTTATTTTTGCCTCAGACAGAAAAAAAATCCCCAACCTTACTGAGGATTCGAACCCAGGCCTCCCATTTGAGAGTTCAGCATTCTAACCATTCGGCCAATCGTTCCTCTCCCTGAAACATACAAAAGCACAATGTATCGGGTGTACTTAAGCCGAGACCCTGTAATCTTAATCACTGAGGCTTATGGGGAAAATTTGACAACCTGACTTTCAAAGTCTTTGAGGTCATTAAAAAAAACACCTGTAAATGCTATTTGTAGTTACTATATTAATATCCTGGCCTATTAACGCAGCAGGTACACACTGAATCCGTGGAATTTAACTATGTTTTTTCAGAACACACACCGGCAGACACGGCCATATATCAAAGCGTGATACAACCAGAAACTACTAAATTAAGTCTTTCTAGGCGAAAGGGTTAAACGAAATGTGCATAAGAATCAACACAAGTGGAAAAACATTTAACATAGTTAAATTTACTTGGCAAACTAAAATTAATACAAAAAGGCAAAATTTACAACAACAAAAAAGTAAACATCTGAGCGCATTTCAAAACAATTTAATTATGTGCTCTATGTGGTCTCCGCCACACACCTATGTTTTCTTTTCTGTCTCAATACATTACAAATGTACATATTTACATTTCACCACTTGCTCACATTTCACATCTCAGCTCGGACAGACAAAACCAAGATCTAGGAAGGAGCTAAGTATGGCCCACAGCCAATGAGAAGATTGCATCTGGTGAAGTGCAGGCCCAACACGGTGGTGCTCTTTGTGTAGTAGGTTCCCAGAAGTAGGCTGGGACTGTCGTTGCTGAGGAGCAGAGATCACAAGGTCAATGGTAACAAAAAAAAGCAATGACCAAACAGCACTTAAAGGAATCACATAAAATGAGTCATCAGTTAAAAAGCACTGACCAAGCAGCACTTGAAGGTATCACATAAAATGAGTCATCAGTTAAAAAGCACTGACCAAGCAGCACTTGAAGGTATCACATAAAACAGCAGTTGAATTAATCACCAAACAAAACAGCACTGACCAAACAGCAGCTGAATTAAACACCCAATAAAACAGCACTGACCAAACGGCAGCTGAATTAAACACCAAATAAAACAGCACAGACCAAACAGCAGCTGAATTAAACACCAAATAAAACAGCACAGACCAAACAGCAGCTGAATTAAACACCAAATAAAACAGCACTGACCAAACAGCAGCTGAATTAAACACCAAATAAAACAGCACTGACCAAACAGCAGTTGCAGATCAAACCACTGACCAAACAGCAGTTAAATAAACCACATAAAATCACTGAGAAAATAGCAGTTGAATTAACTACAAAACAACACTGAATTAAACACCAAATCAAAACAGCACTGACCATGTACTAAACGCTTGCTAGGCAGTAGTAGGTCCATTCCCTTTACAACCCAAAAATGGGACCCAGGGAAGACAGAATTTTATCCCAGCAAACTAACCCCTGGGTCAGTCACTCCTTGGGGACAGAACTAATACAGTTGAACAGGCTACAACTTACACAGTAATGTTACTGGGGATGGTAGTGTCAACCTCTGTGTCCTGTTCGGCCATTATCTTCTGCACATCCCACAGGCGTATGCTGTCATCCAGGCCTCCTGGGGGAACAACAATTCACTTGAAACAGTTGCTATCATAATTACTTCCACACCACACATCTATGCTTTAATCATTTATCAGATTTAAGCTCTTAACCTCTCTACCACACATCTATGCTTTAATCATTCATCAGATTTTAGCACTTAAACTCTCTACCACACATCTATGCTTTAATCATTCATCAGATTTAAGCACTTAACCTCTCTACCACACATCTATGCTTTAATCATTCATCAGATTTAAGCACTTAAACTCTCTACCACACATCTATGCTTTAATCATTCATCAGATTTTAGCACTTAAACTCTCTACCACACATCTATGCTTTAATCATTCATCAGATTTAAGCACTTAAACTCTCTACCACACATCTATGCTTTAATCATTCATCAGATTTAAGCACTTAACCTCTCTACCACACGTCTATGCTGAACTTAATATTCTCATTCACACTGTCTCATGTACTTTTGTCAGAACACCCCCCCCCCCCCCAACCTCCTCCTTCTCTCTCTCTCTTTATGGATGGAATGTGATCTCCTTTGCTCCTCTATTTATTTTCCTCTCACTCTCTTTACTTCCTATCTCCCTCACCTTCCACACACCCATGTACCTACCAGTAGCCAATATAGTACCGTCCCTGCTAAAACACAGAGAGTAGACGATGTTGGTGTGACCCTTTAGCTGGGCCACCACAGCCCCCGACGACAGGTCCCAGATGACAGCCAGGTTATCGGCACCTGGCAGAAACAAATCGATATTCACAGCTCAGCATTTCTGTATAAACTAGTCCAGTTTACAAGATCTGTATCTGATTCTTATTCTTGAGATGCTAACCTTACAGGCTACAATAATGGTGATTGGTGGGGGGTGTGGGAGGGGGGGAGGGGTGGTAAAAATCTTTTAAAATAAGTTAAAAAAAACAAAGGTATTTAAAAAAAAAAAAGGGGGTCAAGTTTAAATGCTGAATAAGGAATCGACATTACAGCACTCAGGACACCCCCATAAGAGCTCTGTCCCTATCTTCAGCAGCAAATGAAGAGTTTCTATTCCGGTGGCACCAGTAACTGTCTAATTGTAAATCTGTCTCGCCTTTCCCTTGAGTGTTCAGCGTCGGCCATATCCTATGGTAACTCCTCGTAGCGCCATTTTCCTCAGACCGTAATGATCTATTTGTGCTTCCCCACTGTTCACTCGCTCCCAGAGGTCCCTGACATCCTCTAGCTTGTCATACATCAATTCACCACCAAGTGGTGCAGAACCGCCAGTCTATCTGCCTGTATGATTTTGCAACACACCGGCATGATATGGAGAGAATATCCAAAGGATACTAACTACCCGGGACCTCTGAAGTGATGCTTGCCACTCTGCACGGAGCATACCTGTCTCCACCTTTCTCAACATGCTCTGTGAGTCAGCAAAATTGAATGACTGCAGCTTAGATAATGACAGATAAAGAAGGCCATGGGGAAGAAGTTGGAGATAAGTTATATCAGCTTTTCCCAGTTGATGTTTGCAGAACAAATCTGTGTGGTCTGTGATAATCATTTACAAAAAAAAGTGCACCTGTCTCAAAGGCCAGGAACCAATGGTCTGCACATAAATAAACCAGATCTGTAAAACAGATGTGCATGCAAAATGGAGTCCTAGAACAAAACCAAAGTAAAGAAGTGAATGAATAACTAGAACTTTCTGCTGCAGGTTTTGCCAGTGAAAGAAAAAGATTTATAGGCACACAAAAACACCCTCAACTTTAGAATACAATTTATCTGGCAATTATAATTTTTATAAATTAAAATTAGTTTTTTAGTGCAACTTAAATATAGAGTCTGTGGCAGACCTTTAAAAATAAGAAGGGTCCCCGGATCTTAGCTAACTGGGAACAATTAGATGATAAAGTGGTAACTATAGCTTTCAATTTTTGCATTGTCTAATGGGTCTTTCTGTCAACCGGTATCTTCAGCAATATGAAGATGGTTCTGTTCATCGCTGAAAGATTTGGCTGGGTGTTTTCAGCTGGAGTTAAGAGACAGATCGTGCAGTTTTGAAGTGGACAGCTGACACCAAGGTTACCATGGACAGCTGACAACAGGGTTACCATGGACAGCTGACAACAAGGTTACCATGGACAGCTGACAACAAGGTTACCATGGACAGCTGACAACAAGGTTACCATGGACAGCTGACAACAAGGTAACCATGGACAGCTGACAGCAAGGTTACCATGGACAGCTGACAGCAAGGTAAAAGCTGACAACAAGGTTACCATGGACAGCTGACAACAAGGTTACCATGGACAGCTGACAACAAGGTTACCATGGACAGCTGACAGCAAGGTTACCATGGACAGCTGACAACAAGGTTACCATGGACAGCTGACAACAAGGTTACCATGGACAGCTGACAACAAGGTTACCATGGACAGCTGACAACAAGGTTACCATGGACAGCTGACAACAAGGTTACCATGGACAGCTGACAACAAGGTTACCATGGACAGCTGACAGCAAGGTTACCATGGACAGCTGACAGCAGGGTTACCATAGACAGCTGACAACAAGGTTATCATGGACAGCTGACAACAAGGTTACCATGGACAGCTGACAACAAGGTTACCATGGACAGCTGACAACAAGGTTACCATGGACAGCTGACGACAAGGTTACAATGGACAGCTGACAACAAGGTAACCATGGACAGCTGACAACAGGGTTACCATGGACAGCTGACAACAAGGTTACCATGGACAGCTGACAACAAGGTTACCATGTACAGCTGACAACAGATTACCATGGACAGCTGACAACAAGGTTACCATAGACAGCTGACAACAAGGTTACCATGGACAGCTGACAATAAGGTTACCATGGACAGCTGACAACAAGGTTACCATGTACAGCTGACAACAAGGTTACCATGGACAGCTGACAACAAGGTTACCAGAGGAATTCTAGTGTCTGTTTCTCTCTCGGTACTGTGGAAGGTTACATATGTGGCATGAGTGGATACCAAGCATGTCAACATTACAGGGACTCACGTGGATATACTGTCCGGGATATGCAGGAGTGTGAGGGAATGAAAGAGTGGATTTTTTGGCTACAGAAGCCATAGTCACAGGAACACTCATACTGGACATAGAAGACTTCTTGAAGACCATTTATGAACCAATACTGGTAGTAGACATGAGGTTGTATGAAATAACATGTGTAAGCATGTGTGAATGTTGAACGGGGATGGACATATAAGAAGAGAATCATGTGTGTATAATCAGTGTGCTAAAGGAACAGTTAGCATCTATACCTCAAGACATTTGCTACGAGAAACATGATACATCAATGAGTATGCCAGGTGTACAGGTGTATTGATTCTTAAAATAGTAATCTGTACCTATGAGTGCCAATCAGAACATTACAATCTGTTTAGCATCATCATCATCATGTAGCAGTTCCTTTGCAGAACGTCGCTCTCATCCCAGTCTGCCTAAAAGAAACTCTTGGTGTTGGTCGGCCCCTGCCCCTCCTTCTTGGTATCATGCCTTCTGCTATAATTTTGTCCAATCCGTCGTAGCGCTTGATATTACCAAAATATTTCAGCTTTCGAGAAAGGATGCTGTTTATTAGTCAATCTTCCTTGATGTTCAGATCTTTTAAGATATCAATATTTCTTATCTTCTTTGTCCAAGATATTCTGAGAATCTTTCTATAGCATTTCAGCTCAAAAGCCCCGGCTCTCCTAGCAGATTTGGCCAGCAAGTAGGTCGGCTTCGGTCAGCGTAGTGGGAGTTCTTTCCCTTGGCCGCACTCACAACAACGAGCGGAAAACGTCACGACTCAAACACGACAGTGAGGTCGACATCAGGGCTGCCAATGCTTGGTTGTGCCCCCCAGATCTGGGTTTTTCTTTTGACGCTGCGGGAAAATCTGGGTTTTTTTTGTGTGTGTCTGTCTGTGGGTGTTTTGCCGATCTGTAAGCTTTAATGACCGATAAATTTGCGTGGTTAGGGGTTGGGTTAGGGTTAGCGGTAGGATTAGGGTTTGGGTTAGGATATAGGGGTAGCGTTAGGGTTACAGTTAGGGGTACAGTTAGGGTTAGAGATAGAGTTAGGGTTAGGTGTAGCGTTAGATGTGACAATTGTGACGCCGTAGTTCCCTATAATCGCACACAGCCGCATGCATGCGCAAACAGTCAACGGACGGTGGATGCTTGACACGGACAATTCGCCACCGATTAGGCACCAGCCTCGCGCTATTGCCGTCATATTTGCCACACTTCCAGTGGCGCCACTCCCACAAACATCAGATTGTCGGCCAGTATTTTGACCTCTTAAGTGAAAATTTTCACATCTAACCCTAACCCTACCCCTAAACCAAACCCTAACCCAAACCCTAAGCAACCGTATGACGATGATAGACACCCTACGCAGCCCTACACGCAACCGTATGATGATGATAGACACCCTACGCAGCCCTACGCGCAACCGTATGATGATAGGTAACCCTAGACACAACCGTACGCAACCCTACACGCACCCGGATGATGATAGGTAAGTATGTCATTTGATTCGTTACTTTTTCCGCTCGTTGTTGTGAGTGCGGCCAAGGGACAGAACTCCCACTACGCCGACCGAAGCCGACCTACTTGCCAGCCAAATCTGCCAGGAGAGCCAAAGCCCCTATTCTCTTTCTTACTCTTACTACACATTATTTACTCTTGTCACACCACGATAAGCACAAAGAAACAAACCCACACCCTTACCTCCACTGGCCAGGTATCTACCATCAGGACTAAACTCCAAGCAATGAATAGTATTCTGAAACACAGAGAATATGTTTTAAACAAAGAGAATCTTATGGTGGATCTGCTAGGCCTCACTGACACACTGTGCTGGGTTCTTCCATGTTCAGCCTTAACTCTTTCAGTCCCACACAATGCAGGATTTGCCTAGAAAAACCGCACAACAGCCAGGGGCTGTTGGTGTTGGTTATGCAACGTCCTGTAAAGGATACGCAACCAACCTTTAACTCTTACTTTTATCATTTGGTCAGAACATACTAAAGAAATCTGGCCTCTCTCCTTGGTCACTGTCTACAACTGTGTATATTGCCACTTTGAAAGTAAAACATTTATGATTTTCTATCAATGATTATCTTTTCACTCTGACATTTCCATGAAACCTTTTGGTACCGAGAGTTAAAAAAAGAGGTTAGCATGCTGTGTTGTAGTTTACAGCTAGGATGTGATATCTGCACCATTTGACCTAACAATTTCAGTAAAACCATTAACTGCCTTTTACATTCTTGTGTTAATTAAGGGACAGCAGGTCTTTTTAAACCCCTCCCCCCAAATGGAGTCTGAAACTCCACACAGAAATTTTCGGCTCAATTCTTAATAGTGATATCTTGCTGAATAATTTTTAGTAACTTTGGCGAAATTAAATCTGTTGTAATGGGTAGAGAAAACACAGCAAAAAGTTAAGGACATTTTTATGTCAATAATGTACAGGGTATATGATGCTATACTCAGTTATACAGACCCATCGGCACCCGTGGGTAATGCGGTCAACATCACGCAGGTCATCTTTGTCTCCCAGGGCTTCACCTGGTAATTATTTTAGATCTGGTCTAGTCAAGAGCAAAGATCGATTTTTGAAAGGAAAACTCATCTCAAAGCTGATTTTAACCTGAGACCTTCAGGAGAGCAGATCAGCATCCAGCCCCATAGATCTTAGTACCTTCCTTCAGCAATCCACTTCTGGACTTTAATTTTGTCCCAGAACTTGAGTTTCCCATGCATGCACATCTGTTTTACAGATGTGCCTTACTTGTATGCCAACTGTTGGTTCCTCGCCTCTCAAGCAGATGCACGACTTCACAAAGGAAAAACCCCTAATTAGTCACCTTATACTTGTTAGGAGGGCAGTGGCCCCGGAATCCCCCCCAAAAGAAAACCATCCAAGGCTTAATCTCAGCCCGCCTGCATAAGCTATGTTAACTGATAACTTGGTCACATCTCAACATGTTTCCCTGCAGATATAGTGTTCCACCGTCAGTCTTGCACACAGCACTGGCTTATTAACTCATGCCAACCTTCTTAAACTACTTGTTATGACAAGAGTGTTAAGTTAATGTCATTATATTTTGCTTCTATTAACCCTTTCACCCGGAAATTCATATGTTTGAGAAAGAACAAAATATCCACGGAATTCGCAAGGAATTTTGAGTTGTTCTGAATAATTTATAGCTCCTGAAATTTCATACTTAAAACTACCCCCCCCCCCCCCCTCTTTGAATCCCAGGAAATTTTTGTTTGTTTTGACAATTTAATTTATTATTATTAATTTATCAACAAATCCCAGATACCCTGTTTAACCCTTACAAAGTTATCATTTGATAAAAAGCTATGTATCAGTAGTACCTTATGCCCAGTCATAATTCGCACACAGCTACCGTTCAGCATGTCCCAGAGACGGACACTCTTGTCACTGGAGCCTGTTGCCACGTAGTTTGAGTTTGGGTGGAATTTACAGCACTGAAAGCAAACATACATCTACACTGAGAAAGTAGTGTGTGAAAATTGATTAATGAGATGGTAATATGCGTGAAATATCTAAAATGGACAGTCCTGGAAAAACATTAAACGCAAAATTACAACATGTGAGATGAGGTCTGGATTATATTGACAAACAAAGAATGAAACGGTTCAGCCATCTAGTGAGAATGCAGCCAGACCAGACTGCATGAGACTTTTCACAGTAGAACATCTGGGAGGGGAGGCGAGAGAAAGACCAAAAATGAGATGGATTGTTTGTTTGTTTTAGTATCCAGAAGCCATGAGTTGTTAACCCTTAGGCTCGGTATTATGGATATCGCAACCTTTCGGCCTTGATTCCATTGTAAATACCGTCAATCTGGGAGAAAATGTGGCTTTCCTGCCTACCCCCTGGGATTGAACCCGGACCACAAGGAGTGCGTCACCCGGTCTCGGCGAAATCCGGTTTAGCCAATTCCGCTAGAGAGCCGGGCAATGAGATGGATAAATGGTGTAGCTAAAACTATATAAATGAGCTGGTGAGGTACTGAAATTAAATAATCAGTCAGGTATAGATGAATGAACACTAAAAAGCTAGTAATTTTTTTTTTTTTATGTAATAAGCGTTGTAAACACTGAATACATTTTTTTTTTAATGAGACAATAATATCATGCAGCATGAGAATTAAACAACGAGACATTGATGTCTGTTACAGTTAAACATTGTATATGCGTACAGTGTTAATCGTTTTCTTCTTCTTCTTGTTCACTGGCTGCAAACTCGAGCAAAAAGTTCTGGTTATTTATCTACTTCTGGACTTTTGTCTTGATCCAGAACTTGAGTTTTGTTTGCATATTCGTTTTACAGATCTGGCTTATTTGTGTGCAGACTGCTGGTTCCTTGCTTCTCAGGCAGATGCACTGTGACTTCAAAGAAAACAACCCTAATTTCTGCACCTTCTCAAAGCATTCTCATTATGAGTTATGAGTTAGATTATCTTCACAGCACTCCGGACACATCCATAGGCGCTCAGATTCCCCTCTCATCATATTCATCAGCATCCCACAGTTAATAATGCCAGTCCTATGTTGGTTAACAAGTCTCTGTGTGCGTCCAGTGAGCTACTCATGCCTGGATGTGCCGATCTTTACTCCCTATTCTTGTATTCTTAGCAGCGATTGAATGTCCATGATGTACTTCCACACATCAGGACTGAGAAACAATTTCCATTCGAGCTATAAAAAAAATACACTTTCAATAAAAGGTGCTGGTACTGAGTACCACCAGAAGAAGAAAAAAAACTACGGGTTGAACAGGCTAAACAATACACTTACATCCACATCTGCCAGATGGCCAGCAAATATCCTCACTGGCTGATGGTGGTCAGTGGCCCACACTCTGGCCGTCCGGTCATGTCCAGCCGAGACAAAGTAGTAGCCGTGAGGACTAGTTATCAAATGGAAAGGAGAAAAAAACAGAAATTACCAAATGGACACGAAAAATATGGTACATAAAATTTTTATTTTGTGTTAGTTATCAAGCAAGTTTTGAACACAAAAAAGACTTGGAAACAACAGGAAAGCACAATATATGGCATGGCATTTTTCACCATCTCCTCAACTGCGACCTACAGCAGCAAGTGAACAGAATAAAGTAAATACATGAGTCCTTCTAACTTTTGCTTTTCTCTAGGCCTTGTTCTGACTTTCAGCATTACAGAGAGGCATATGGTGTGAGCCTTGGTATGTGCTATATAGATGATGGTATTCACTGCCTAGGATACTCCATTTTTCAACTGCTTATGTGAGCAACATCTAGCTCTGCTTCTGTTGTGTCAAAGTGACAGGTGCTCTCTGTGATGTATCAGTTAAGCAAGAATTGATATCATAGCACTCAGGGCATTTCCATATGCGCTCTATCCCCATCTCAGAGTTCCAATACTAATGGTGCTGGTCGTAGTCTGGTTGTGTCAATCTTGCCTTTTTTCTGAGTGTAGTGTGCCGGATGGACCCTCTAGTGTTCGTGTTTGGCAACGTCTCTTTCGACATGAAGATCTTGTAATATTTTGAATGTTGCCGTCATCTTCTGAATCATCTTTTCATCCTGCTTCCTTGAGAGCACTGAGAATGTAGGCCTGGTCCAATGCTTTTCCTGTACCTACCATATGGTATATTATCTTGTTGTAGTCTTGATATATGTCTCAACCATCTGATCTGTTTAAAGGCAGAAAACCTAGTCAAGTCCATCCATGTAATCAAGCCCCATAGTAACAGTTTCCCAGTCTACACCATCCAAGACTGGACTGCGTTCTGCAATCATCGACAAGCTATTGATGATCATTCTTCATGTGAGAGACTGATTCCAACCATTCTAGCTGCAGGGGCAGGCCAAATCCCAACCGTGCAGGGCTCCAGAATAAAGAAGCAAAATTCAAAATAACAATTTAAAAAAATAACACCTGATTTATGTCACTGGTGCACCAGGCATATTATGCTATACTCATATTTGTTCAGACTAAAGGGCACTCATTGTGATCAACTTGAACAAAGAAGACAGTGATCCATTTTCTTCCCTGGACAATTCCTGAACCCCATTTTAGGCTGAGTAGATCTGGAAGTCATAGGTAAATTATAAAGAAGTCTGCCCCACTACAGATTCTAACCAAACACCACAGGTAGGTCAATCATAACAAATCTATCTCAATATAGATTTGAACTAAACATCGAAGGTAAGTTAATCAAAACAAATCTACCTCAATATGGATTTGAACTAAACACCACAGGTATATCAACAGTTAAGAAAATCTGCTCCAATACTGATTTGAACTACACACCATAGGTAGATCAATCATAACAAAATCTGCTCCAATACTGATTTGAACTACACACCATAGGTAGATCAATCATAACAAAATCTGCTCCAATACTGATTTGAACTACACACCATAGGTAGATCAATCATAACAAAATCTGCTCCAATACTGATTTGAACTACACACCATAGGTAGATCAATCATAACAAAATCTGCTCCAATACTGATTTGAACTACACACCATAGGTAGATCAATCATAACAAAATCTGCTCCAATACTGATTTGAACTACACACCATAGGTAGATCAATCATAACAAAATCTGCTCCAATACTGATTTGAACTACACACCATAGGTAGATCAATCATAACAAAATCTGCTCCAATACTGATTTGAACTACACACCATAGGTAGATCAATCATAACAAAATCTGCTCCAATACTGATTTGAACTACACACCATAGGTAGATCAATCATAACAAAATCTGCTCCATTTTGTATTAGAACCATAACACCACAGGTAGATCACTAATAACCCAACACGTATTTGAACTGAAGACCACAGCAAGCATCTAGCTGCGGCACCAACACCAGACCCCTGCGTATACTAATCAAAATAAAACACACAACATGCTTCTGGGGGGACACAGACCAAAGTTTGTTCTTTTTCTGCAATCAACTTTAAAAGAGAGTTTGTTACGTTGCGATTTACAGCCAGTCTGCAATATCTTTGCCTTTCAGCCCTACACATCCGATTTCAGCAAATCCGTAATCAGTCCCTTTTACGATATGCACACAAGGGGCAGTGAGTTTATTTATTTCTTTCCCCAAAATGGGACCTCAGAACTAACACAGAGAAGACTAAAGTTTCACAACTCTGAAAAACACCTGATAACATCCTAAGACACATCAGATAACATCCCAAGACACACGTAATAATATATCTAAGCCTGACAACATCCGAAGACACTCCTCTGATAACATCCATCCCATGACACCCACATGATAGCATCCTAAGACACTCACCTGAAATCGACATCCCAAACAGGAAAGTTGTGTCCCTTGTAACAAACCAAGTTTGTCCAGATATATAAACTCCACAGTCGAACTGGGTGGAAGCCAATGAAAATGGGAAACTATGTTTACATGACATCAAATATTTAAAAACAATTTGTGTCTACCTTTCCTGATAGGTTTCAACTACCCCTATCACGCCTAGAAGGCCACATCTAGTCATTTCTCTGGTTGTGACAGCCCATATATCACCATTTCTGTAGTGACCTGATCTCGAAAAGTGGGGTTAAATTACTTTGGTTCTATGTGTACCACCTCTGCAGTGTTTAGGAGGCCCAGATATGATTATATTACCTAAATATATTCTTTCAAGGGGTTTCCTTGTAGAGCAAATAGCTTTTTTACGGCCAGGTTGACTTAAATTGTGCCGTAAGCCTCAGTGATAGAGGTAACAGCATTGGTTACAACAGATATTTGTTTTAGGTAAATGTATTCCTCTGCTATACTTTCTTCTGGTTAATTTATTACTCCCCTAACATATTTTGAAACATAAATGTCAAAAATTTAGATACATAAATCTGTTAGCAACTTATAAGCCTTCAAAGTAAGTGGAGGATTGTTAAACACTTTCATGAACATCTAAACTACAGAGAAACATTTGATTTGACTCTCTTTTTTATTTTAACTATTTTCTTTCATTCCCAGTCACTTTAGAACAACCAGGAAATACAATAATAGTGTACACAGGAACGAACAAACTTTATTTTCAAAGGATCACAAATTGGGCATGCAGGACCGTCTCACATCCGGCCCTTCCAGTCAACCATCTTTCGCACAGCAGTTGTATTTTACTTAGAAAGCATGTTATGATCATTTGATGATATGCATATTATGAATATTATAAAAGAACACAAAAGCATGAGTTGTACAGTGCATGCAAAAACCTGCGCGTGCATATACACACCCATATACATACATACACCCACATACACACGCTCACCCACTCAATTACACACACATGCATACATTACATACATACAGCAACAAACACTGACCATATGAACACACATGGAAAAAACCCTGACCAGATGAACACACAAGAAACAAACACTGATCAGATGAAAGCACAAGGAACAAACACTGATCAGATGAAAGCACAAGGAACAAACACTGATCAGATGAAAGCAAACACTGAAGGAACAAAGGAACAAACTGATCAGATGAAAGCACAAGGAACAAACACTGACCAGATGAAAGCACAAGGAACAAACACTGATCAGATGAAAGCACAAGGAACAAACACTGATCAGATGAAAGCACAAGGAACAAACACTGATCAGATGAAAGCACAAGGAACAAACACTGATCAGATGAAAGCACAAGGAACAAACACTGATCAGATGAAAGCACAAGGAACAAACACTGACCAGATGAAGGCACAAGGAACAAACACTGACGAGATGAACGCACAAGGAACAAACACTGATCAGATGAAGGCACAAGGAACAAACACTGATCAGATGAAAGCACAAGGAACAAACACTGATCAGATGAAGGCACAAGGAACAAACACTGATCAGATGAAGGCACAAGGAACAAACACTGATCAGATGAAAGCACAAGGAACAAACACTGATCAGATGAAAGCACAAGGAACAAACACTGACCAGATGAAGGCACAAGGAACAAACACTGATCAGATGAAAGCACAAGGAACAAACACTGATCAGATGAAAGCACAAGGAACAAACACTGATCAGATGAAGGCACAAGGAACAAACACTGATCAGATGAAAGCACAAGGAACAAACACTGATCAGATGAAAGCACAAGGAACAAACACTGACGAGATGAAGGCACAAGGAACAAACACTGATCAGATAAACACACATGGAACAAACACTGATCAGATGAAGGCACAAGGAACAAACGCTGATCAGATAAACACACATGGAACAAACACTGACCAGATGAAGGCACAAGGAACAAACACTGATCAGATAAACACACAAGGAACAAACACTGACCAGATAAACGCACAAGGAACAAACACTGATCAGATAAACGCACAAGAAGCAAACACTGATCAGATGAACACACTTACTTGTACCATCATCAGAACAGGAGAGCAGGTAGGCCCGATCAGGGCTGATACTGGTGGCATAGACGGTCCCGCCATGACCAACCAACAGCTTGTTATCACAGGCTGTCTTATCGTCAAAGATCCTCTCCATTACATCATCTGTCAGACAAGATATAGTTTGATTCTGTTTTTTAATTTGTCTTCCGATCATCTATTTAACAGACCAGGCTTATTTGTAAAGGCAATGTTGGTTCCTCGTCTCTTAAACAGATCCACTCTGACCTCAATAGACACCGCTAATTAGCTGCAATGTACGAAACGCTTGCCAGGCAGTAGTAGGTCTATTCTTTTTACAGCCCAGAATGGGGCCCAGGGAAGACAGGTTCAATCCCTGGGAAATAACCCCTTGGTCAGTCACTCTTTGGTCTCAATCCACAGACAATAAGCCTTGCCAGAATTGTTTATGACTGCATACACTAACCTACATCTCTGTGTACGGCACACAGTTATCTGCCTCTGTCAATCTTTACAGAGTCTTACACATCAAATACTAGCCTGTTCTTTATCAATCTTTATATCATCTCACACAACAAACACAGATTGGCTTCATTTTCAGTCTTGGCATAACACACACTAATCTGCTTGTTTATCAATCTTTACAGTCTTACACACCGCACACTAATCCGCTGCTCTGTCAGTCTTTAAATAATCTATACACACCATATAATAACCTGTTGCTTTGTCAATTTTTATACAGTATCAATTAATTAAAATTAAGCAAATAAATCTTCTTCTTCTTTGTGTTCGGTGTCATATGCTCAGATCAGACCATCAGGTGGGTTGCCTTTATGAACTTGCATGTCAGTAGCAGATCCTTTATGGTTCCCCATAGATTGCTCTGCACACTTTGCTCTTGAGGCCAGGTGTCTTTTCGAAGTTGTAGGTAGAGTGGGCAGGTCTGCAGAATGTACTCAGGTGTTTGTGGTCCTGTCTGATAGATGTAACATTTTTATTTTATGCATGTGTTAGTTGAGCCTGCAGTGTCCTGTTCATAGATGGAAAACTGTTGTGTGTTGCCTTCTGTTGAGTGCTAATAGGTTCTTGTGGATGTTTATTGTTATCTCTCCAAAATACATTGTATTTTCCCACGATAAGTGTTCTGATTTCTGGTAATTATAATGGATGGGTGCGTTGTTTCTCCTTTGTTCCATTTTTTTGGGCAAGTCTATCTGCTTACTCATTTCCTGGTATGCCGCAGTGAGCTGGGATCCACTGGAGAACCATTTGATTGTTTTCTGTGAGTCTGTTTAGCTGGTGGGTCAGTTCTCTCTCCACGTTGTCTTGTGAATCCCTTTGAGTCGCCTGGAGGACTGACCAGTGGAAGCAAAAATCCATCGTCAGCAATAAATCCTGGCACATGGTAAACAAGGACGATGCATTTCGAATTATTCACACTTTAACCAACCGTAGATTACTGCAGTAAGCAAAAGCGTCAGCGATCATCCAGTTTAATTCAGAATTATGCCGACAGAAGGAAATGCTCGTCACTTTGCGGTTACCTTGGTGAAACAGACAATGTGTGGATCTAGTCGATTCTGTGTTTCAGTTAGAAGGTTTCATTTATTTGCTTGATTTTAATCAATAGTTACTGTAGTATGCACCTGATCGGATACAACAAAACATGCCAGGCAATAAACTGTGAAATCTATTGTTTGTGTTTTCTTTGTTCAGATTCAGAACAGGGAACAATGCTTAATTTTTATACAATCTTATACACATATAATCAGCGGCTTCTGTGATAATTTAAATACACTACATACTAAACACTTCTGTGGCAATCTTTACACAATCCTACACACAAACCTGTCTCTGCGGCCATCTTTACACACTCCTACACACAAATCTATCACTGTGTCAATCTTTGCAAATCAAACACTAACCTGCTTCTTTGTCAATCAAGTCGAGGTCATCTGGGTCTTTCATATCTTTCAATTTGTTTGGAGTCAGAGACCAAACACGGATGTTTCCGTCAGTGAAACCGGCCGCCAGCAGACTAGAGTCTTCAGATATGTCCACACATGTGACACTGTGGGTTGCAACATTTGACAGTTAATTGGAGAAACAAATTGTAAATTGCTATTTGAGAATGAAACAACCTGATGAACTTCATTGTCATATCGATTATGTGGCTCTAGAATCATATCTGTGTAGACCAGTTAGCACTTACTGTTGTATGGAGCAGAAATATGGAGAACAATAAAACAGTTAGTAATAAACTACAAACTTTCATCAACTGGTGCCTGCGCAGAACAGAGGGTAACTAAATGGTATGAAAGAATCAGTAATGTTGATCTTAGGAAGAGAAATAAACAAATTAAAATGACTCAAGAGGTGAAGAAGAGATGCTGGCGTTGGATATGATACACATTAGGAAAACTTAATAACAGTACTACTAGAATGTCTTTAAACCGGAAGCAACAAAGGCAAACCAAAACACACATGGAGAAGGGAGCTAGAGAATAAAGTTAAAAAGACAGGGAGGAGACAGGATGAGCGGCATGCAATAGCATAGCAAGGGACAGGACAAATCAGTGTGAGTTGGCTGAGTGCCTATGCTCTACTTATTCTGGTGTAACCCCCACAGTTCCACGCAAAAAATGTAAGGGGCACATAATATCATTTATAAAAATAACTTTCAACTATAGAATGCAATCCTTTAAGGTGATTTTAACATTTATAAATCATCATAAGTTTCTTAAGATTATTTTTTACAAAACATGGAGTCGGTGGCAGACTTTAAAAAAATCACAAGGGTATGTGGGTCTCAGATAACTGAGAACTACCGGCTTATATCAATTCAACATCCATCAATGTGTACTTACCCCTGGTAGGCATTGAGGAATGTGTAGAAACAGACAGATGGTAGGTGGTTGTGATCCAGTTTGACTCTCCGTTTGGCTTCCCGAAATGCCATAGCTCTCTCCCGAAGATCTTGATCTTTCCTGTAAAAGAGGTGATATGAATGACACACGTTTTTTGTCACAAATGCTATTGGGTTTTGCTTATGTAAGATCTGTTACCACATGTTCATGCTTCACTCAAAAGACACTATTTCACTTATACACTATTTCACTTATACACTATATCACTTATACACTATTTCGCTTATACACTACACTATTTCACTTATACAATATTTCACTTATACACTATTTCACTTATACACTATTTCACTTATACACTATTTCACTTATACACTATTTCACTTATACACTATTTCGCTTATACACTATTTCACTTATACACTATTTCACTTATACAATATTTCACTTATACACTATTTCACTTATACACTATTTCGCTTATACACTACACTATTTCGCTTATACAATATTTCACTTATACAATATTTCACTTATACACTATTTCGCTTATACACTACACTATTTCACTTATACAATATTTCACTTATACACTATTTCACTTATACACTATTTCGCTTATACAATATTTCACTTATACACTACACTATTTCACTTATACACTATTTCACTTATACAATATTTCACTTATACACTATTTCGCTTATACACTATTTCGCTTATACAATATTTCACTTATACACTATTTCACTTATACAATATTTCGCTTATACACTACACTATTTCACTTATACACTATTTCACTTATACACTATTTCACTTATACACTATTTCACTTATACACTATTTCACTTATACAATATTTCACTTATACACTATTTCACTTATACAATATTTCACTTATACACTATTTCACTTATACACTATTTCACTTATACACTACACTATTTCGCTTATACACTACACTTTTTCACTTATACAATATTTCACTTATACACTATTTCACTTATACACTATTTCACTTATACAATATTTCACTTATACACTATTTCACTTATACACTATTTCGCTTCTACACTACACTATTTCACTTATACACTATTTCACTTATACACTATTTCACTTATACACTATTTCACTTATACACTAGTTCACTTATCTCCCGCAGTTGTCAGTCAAGCACACAGAACATGCCATCAAGCTCTTAGAACAGTTCAGTAAGTACTTGTAACTAGGACTGTACAGAATAGTGATTTTCACTATTCGGCCAAATACGAATAGTGGGACCAACTATTTGGCTGAATGAAAATACGAATAGTGCATGATCATCATCAGGTGACTTGCCGTCTGGTGTAAGCGATTATGCTCCGCCACAATCTGTGATCTACTGCAGCATGTATTAGTTTGTGTGCTGACACACCTCCATGCCATGCAACAAGACTGTCAAGAATCTGCTCTCGTTGTCTTCCTCTAGCCCTCCTTACACAGATCTTTAGGGGTCATCACATGTTTCATTTTCCCTCTTCTCATAACATGGTCGAAAAATGATTACTTCTGATGTCTGTGATTAGTTGTCTTTGGAATCCCGCCTCTTTCAAATCCATCGTTCGCTCAGCCGTTCGTCCGATGTAATTTAAACGCACCTTCATATACTCGTTAGCAATATCTTCAAATTTGATTTGGGCCTCGACACCCTGAAAGAACGAAAAATGCATGATCTCTCTCTCACAGACATAAGCAACAACAACAAAAAAAGAACTCATTGCCCTTGAATATTAGTGCTTAGTTGACGAGGCTAACAGTTACTATTGTACAGACCAAATTTTCCACTTTAAAATTTCAGCCAAAATGTAATCACAAATTTACTTATCTGCTGCACCCTTCACGAATACAGATGGAGGATCGGTCGCACGACCATATAAATACAAAGACAATTTTTAGCATGCTGCGGTAGGCATTTTATGCAGTATGGTAAACTTTGAGTGTGAAAAAAAAAGGGGGGGGGGGAGGGAGGGACTCTTTTTGACAGTTGAGAGGAAAGACAGTTTAAATTTCAACTTTTAAGTATCTTCATGCCCTCTTTTAATAATGTCACAATTTATAGCCGACTTTTCTTGATTTCTGCCGCGGCACCCCTGGCATATGCATCGTCTGAGAACTTCTGCTGCAAAGCCTCAGTCGAGTCAGCACGCAAAGACCTTGCCAGCTGCTGTACCATGCAACCGTGTCGCAGTTCCCCCCGCTACTACAGACTTAGGCAACGGCAACTATTGTGGTAATGAGAGAGTTATTTCAGTCAATCGAAGTGTATGCAGAAACGGGTGTAAGGTAACCACTATTTGTATCTGGCCCGACCGAAAGTATTCGGCCGAATACTGAATAGTTTTTAGGACCACTATTTGGCCCCGAAGCGAATATTTGGTACAGCCCTACTTGTAACACAATATTTCACAAAAACATACAGAATGCTACATAAAACACACAGAAATCTATCAAGTACTCAAAACACATTAAAAATGTCAAAGAACCATTAAAAAACACTCTACCAAGCACTAAAAAAACCTCTATCCATGTTCTTATTAAACATTTTTAATAAAAACACCACACACACACACAAACCAAAACAAAAACTAAAAAAAAAAATGGTTTAAAGACCTCAAAAAAATATCTACTCACAGCTCTGGCAGTGGGATTCTGTTGACTGGTGGTGCGTTGGGATCATTTTTTGACTTCTTCATCAACAAGGGATCTTTTTTGGATTTCTTCTTCTGGAAAATGCCCAAAAACAATCAGAAATGTTAAAATACAGATCACAACATCTTCTTCAGTGAGTTGAGCCCTTGAGATTCATTGCTGCAGATATTTTCCACTTCCATTTATCTGTGATTGACCTTCTCTTTGCAGTTGGTGGCTCCAAGCCTTTGCGGGTCTGCCTGTATATCATCTCTCCACCATCCTCTTGGTCTGCCTAATGCTCTACTCCCATGTAACAATGGTCTGCCTAATGCTCTACTCCCATGTAACAATGGTCTGCCTAATGCTCTACTCCCATGTAACAATGGTCTGCCTAATGCTCTACTCCCATGTAACAATTATGTGAATGCAGTTTCTGTCTCTATATTGTCTGCCATTCTCTCTATATGCTAAAAACCTTGCAGTCTATTAGCCCTCATGCCATAAATTAGTGCTCATGTAAACAGATAATAAATGTTATTGTTGCGTCTCACTCTCCATTCTCTGCAGTTTGCACATTAAAAAATTTTTTTTTATTTACCTAAGACTGTTCTCAAAAGTATGCGATGAGGCTCTGTCTGTGCTAGCTGTACTCTAGGTTTCAGAGCCAAGCAGAACAACAGGTCTAACGCATTTGATATACTGTCATATTGGGGTTACAGGACAAATTATCTGATATTAGCAGCCGCTGTAGCACAAAGTACACCCTATAGTAACTTTGGAACATATTTATACAATTTTCAACTCAGATGCATGGTTCATGTGAGTCTTAATCTGCCCTTCTCTTCAACCTCCATACATGTTACCTGGGAGAAGGACGAAGGCGGAGATTGTATGTATGTATGTATGTATGTATGCATGCATGCATGCATGTATGTGTGTCCACTCAGTGGACATCTAAATAGAATACAGCCACAATACTCCCTAGAGTGCCAGCTATGTAACTAGCCTTACGAACCGTTAAACACCATCTCTCTGAGTGCCCAAAACTCAGTGAGGCGAAGAATGCTACTCCCTCCGAGACCAGACAAGTGGAACATCTTGTACGGAGGAAAGGAACAGCTTGTGAAAACATGCAAATTCCACTACATGGCATTAGGCCACAGGGCGAAAGTTCATGCACCCCTGGATCGATAACAACAACATATATACATACACACATACATATATACAATTTTCACCTCCGTCAATTTTATCTGTGACACCTCATATATTTAGTATTTTTTTTTTTTTACATCAGAAGAATTAATGGATAGAGAAATCAACATACAATGTGCAAAAAGCAAACCAGATACTGGGACAACTAACAGCATTTCTGACATCTAGGATAGTCAGTGTCATGTGGCATTGGTATTCATGTATATCCCCAACCTTCTGTCTTATCTACTTTCAATCAATTCTGATACAGATGACCCTCCATGGCATGATTGTCAAACTGCTCATCATCTTTTCTTTTCACCTCTATCTGCCTATCTTCCCCTCCAACTTTCTTACTGTCACAATGTACTTGTTTTCTCTTTTTCATCACATGACCAAAGAATGTAGATTGTCTCCTTCTGATCTTTCAAGACGTCTTCATTACTCTTTTTATCTGTCCAGGGTATTCTCATCATTCGTCTATGAAACCCCATCTCTGCAGCTTCCAAGTATTTTTTCACTAATTTACCAACTGTCTATGATTAAGAGATAATTGGTTAGGTTAGTTGCGTATCCTTTTAAAGGACGTTGCAGAACCATCCCCAACAGCCCCTGGCTATTGTAGAGTTTGCCTAGGCAAATGTATGTCCAGTAGTTTGCCATTGCTTTCTGGACGGTTGGCTTTCTTGATACCACTGTCAAAACCAACACAAGGCGTATAAGAGATAATTACAAGAGATAAAATTTAAAATAAAGAAATAAGAAAAGGGTTAGGACTGAAACCTATCTACTGTTTATTAAAGAGGAACAGACGAGTCAGCTTAGCCATCTGGCACGAACACCCTGTACCAATGCAAAAAAGGGCCACTTTGAAGAAAAACAATGAACATAGAGCAAAGAGAAGACCACATAAATATAGATTGACAACATCAAGAAGAGCCTTCAACAAAGATCACACTACACAACATATCAGAAAAAGTGCACATAAGATCCTAATACCTCTCTCCAACCTTCGACACAACCAGAGAAAGAAAACAGGACTCCTTATCTCCCTGTTCAATATTCAGACATTACCTTTGGCTTCTCATCTCCTTCACCAGCATCATCATCCTCATCCAGTAAAATGTTCAAGTCTGGTTCTTTGAGCAAGCCATAAAAAACTTTGGCTTTGTTAGCTGAAATCAATAACAATGAATACAGTCAGATCCTCCAAATTAACAGACCCCAGTCAAAGAAATTTTGAATATAAGACATAATAATTATCAATTTAAAGATTATCAATTAAAGGGAAATAACTGCACGGCTATGGATTATGAACAAAGAGTTAGTGGAGCATGTCAGGCCACCATCTGTCGGAAAAAAAAATATTATCTACAGTGAGTTTAAAAAAAAATGTTCTAATGACTGACAATCGAGGTTTCAGGTATAATCCAAAGATCTTGCTAAAGGCTTAGAGCAGACTCCTAATACCCAGGAAGTCACAAACGACTGTTCATCCTGAAACTCACCTTTTTTATCAGGGAGCAATTGCATACAAACATTCAGAACTGTTTAAAAAAGACAAAGAGACAAGGAAAGACTGACACTGTCAACTGATGCGGACCAAACTCCTTGTCCCAGAACATTTCATACTGTGATGAGTCTCAACCATTTGCACAACCTGAACTACCATTCTACAACTAACAGATGCAAACCTTCTCTTGAAATGAATGACCAACAACAAGGTGACTACAGTTGCTGTGAAATATTTACCATCTTTGTCCACTTCTCCTAGAAGTCCTCCACTTGTGGCCTGGATCTGCTGCTGGGTGCGGGGAACCCCATCAAATACTGCAAGATAATACAAGGTTAATTCAGTGTATCATCTCCCACATTATCTTGTTTGCTAACTCTGTAGTCTTGGTTCGATCCCCAGCTGAGGCGGGATTTGTTCTACCAGTACAGATCTCTTTCCTCTATCTTCTTCACCGCCAGTAAACCGGTGAAAAGTTCTGACTGTTCGACCACTTCTGAACTGTGGTCTTGTTCTAGAACTTGAGTTTTGTGTGCATATTTGTTTTACAGATCTGGCTTATTTGCATGCAGACTGTCAGTTCCTCACCTCTCAGGTAGATGCACTTCAAGTTTGTTGAAAACAGCCCTAATTAGTCCCTCTTTATGACACACTTGTTAAAGGGGTAGTGGGTCTATTCTTTTTCCCCCACAGGGAGGATCAGGACCGACCCAGCCTGATGAGAATTCAGACATTCCTGGAAACTGTCTGGAGAGGGAAGGTGACAAGGAAAGGAACTAACTACCACACCCCATATTTTGTGGCCCAGAACAATGTTTTTCAACCTTTTTACACCCGTGGACCAGCAAAACAAGGGAAGTTGTTTTGCAGACTGCAGGACAGCTAATTAAAACAGATAATTTAAAAAAATATACAATTAATCACAGCCAACCAATCCAACTAATTCATGAACAACTAACTAAACAAACCCACATCCAACCAAACCAACAAATTCATTACCAGCCAATGATAAATAAATTCATAACCAACCAAATAAACAAACTCACAACTAACCAATCCAACATTCACAACCGATCAAACTAACAAATGTACCTTAGCATAAGCAAAGAGCAACAACGAAAAAAGTTAAAGGTTAACTCAATGTTTACCATCAATGAAGAGATGATCCTGAATTATTGTCAGCAAAGGGGACAACCTCTTTTCCTGTAAATGCCTTTTGAGATGTGTGTACGAGTCACGGGACATTCGCAAGACGAATTTGCTGGTTCTGAAATTAAGAAAAAATGTACATTGTAAACACTACTGTATTTTTTTTTCTGAAAAGGGTACAGAAAATATTAAGTGTCAGTGGCTACTTGTAAAAATATGATGACATGCACCGCTTCATTTCAGGCTTTTACTGACAATTAGTGAGCAATTAAGAAAACTAAGCTGACTTTCAAAAGACCCAAGAGTCTAATCTTTAATCTAATCTTTAATAATTTGCTGTGTGAAAAAAAAAACTCTAACCTGCAATCTGTAGCAAATGGACTAGACAAATCTTCTGACAAAAAAATCTGCCTGGATGTGGAACTGAAACTATGAACATGCCCCTCCTGCCACAGGAAGCAAGCACTGGAATCACTATACTACTGTAGCAGAAGGGAGTGCTATTACAGAAACAAAACACACCCCCCCCCCCCTAAAGTGAATGATAAAACACTCAAAAAAATACCCACATAAGCCAAAATAGCAGCACACATACTATAAGACACTAGGGACAAGCACACACTTGAAATTCTCCAGCAGCTGGTTGCCTGGCATATGTTCCTTCTTACGAACGCTGGACAGCCTGGCCAGGTCATCATGATGATGCTCTTCCTGATCCTGCCAGAATTTGGAGTAAAACTCAGCAGCTGGAGAACAGGAAACAAACAAAACAAAGTTAGAAGCATAACCTCCTGCTTAACATAAGAAACAGTTGGTCCCATATCTTGGGTTAGAGGATTAGGACTAGGCAGATGTCATCAGTCTTATATCAAGCCACAATGTAGATGCCCAGGAAAAATATTGAAAGACTTTCAACGATGGACTCAAGATAAACACTAGTAAAACTGAAGTAATGAGAAATAATAAGAGCACAAATCCAGTCATCTAAAATAATGAAGCAATAAAAGAAAAATGCATATACCTCAGAAGTAAAATTACTCCCGATGGGGATTCTGAAAAAGATGCAACATCAAGCATATGCCATATTTAACAATACATGGAAGTCAATGGGACTTTAAAGACAAAACTCAGACTGCAGACAAGCAAAACTAGAATAATGCTATCATACAATAGCGAATGTTGGAAAATGATAGCAAGAATTACTCAAAAACTAGAGATGGGAAACAAGTGCAGGAGAGTACTGTGAAAATGTGGGTCAAAAAAGATCACAAATGAAAAACTGAGGAGTAAAACAAAAACAATTTAGAGGCCAGGATGTGTGCATTAACAGAAAACATGCATTTTTTTTGTGGTTTTTGTTTGGGCCAACAAGCTTTTTTTTAAAAACCAAGTTGGAGTTAAATTTTTCCATAAGCCGTAGTGATAGAGGTCACAGGGTCATGCATGAATCACGCAATACATTTTTAGGCCTCAGATAATGTATTCAATGTAAAGCTTCACCCTGTTATACATACACACACACACACAATCAATGTATTAAATGACTTTTTTCTCTGGAATTCCACAAGGGTTGTGAGCCATTTTTTAGTGTTCGTGGGGTGAAAGAGTTAAGTAAGGATCATAAAGTCAAACAACAACATATAGCTTACCATTCCATTCATGGCCATTGTAGACCAGCTCCAGATACATGTGGACAAACACAGGGTAGAGAATCGTTGACAGCTCCACCTAAGAAACCAATACAAGTAGTTAGATAGTTGCAGTTCCAACTTCAGGACAAACACATCGCCCCATAACTACTATGTACCTGTGTCAGCAAAAAGTACACAGTATGCTTGTGAAAAAAAAAAGAATCATTAGTCTCTGTAAAGCCAACAGAATACCCACATATCCAAGGCATCAGGCACCCATCAGAGGTTCCAACACAAACAGTCTACTTCCAGAAATGCAAGTCATCTTTAAAGAAATTCTACTTCCAAGAAAAGAAACAGCTCATGCGAATGCCAGAGAGACATTCTAAATATTAATTTCTATAGTAAAGTTAAACATGCTGGAATATAATTCAAAACAATGTTTTGCCGTTATGATCTAAAACAATAAGGATGTAAACATAAGAATCATGTGATTAACCTTAGACTTCCTTTGGTGAGATGCAGTGCAACAAGACACAGTGTGATCTGTATATTTCAGTGGGAAGGATTCATATTTTGTGCTTCATTATATGCTGATATAACCTCCGTAGCAATGTACCCAATGAGATTGTGGGAAAGAAATGTAAATACATCAAAGACCAGAAGCATCCCATGCAGGTTGCAGGGTCCCATTTTGGGAATAAAAAGAAGAGATCCACTGCTCTCTGCCCATCAACCACCCCCCCCCCCCCCCCCCTTTTCCACCTTTTTTTTTTCTTTCTAAAAAATCCCCAAAAATTAAAAACACACCCACACATAACAAGCAAGTCATTAAAAAAAGGTAGTGGTAGGAGAGTCACACTGTGGAAGGGATTATGGCCTCATCATGTATTATTCCCAAAGACAACAGTGGTCAACTCTAGCCAACCTTCATTGGGCAAAGGGCACATAATCTTTTTTTTTTGTCTAATGCTCATGGTAACAAATGCATCTCCCACAACTAGATCTTTCAAGCTTTTTCTTCTTTTGCAAGGTTAACAACTTTTTGTATTCTGTATTTCTATGTCATACAGTGTTAAAAGCTGAATGTTTCCTTGAAACCATCCAATCACCATTGCTGTGGATATTAAAAACTTATACATCCCAGGTCAATGCAGGTGCCAGGAAATGTTCAGGGAAGAAACATGTGGCGCATTATAAATACTACATTATCTATCTTGTGCCAACTAATTTATTTACCCCCAAAAAAAACATTAACAATTGAAAGTAGTACAATGTATCCAATATTTTCTTTTACTTTACTAACCTACTGTTACATAACAGGAAAAACGTGTTTGAGTGAAATTGTGAGGCAAATAAGCAAAAAGGTCGACAGTGATACAAGAGAGAGGATATTTAAAAAAAATGAAAGCAGTCTGAGAAAGTGTAAAAACTAGGCTAAGAGACCGAGTGCTGGAGATTCACTGCAACCAAGGAAAAAGAAAAAAAATTGCAGAAAAGGCATTAATGAAACAATGGGAACAAACTGGAAAAGCCATCAATGCTCTTCTTTTTCTTTGTAGCGTTCACTGGCTGTAAACTGTGAAAGAAAGTTCAAGTTGTTTGCCCATTTCTGGACTTTTATATACTTCCAGAAATGTGGCTTTGTGCGCACATCTGTTTCTACAGATCTAGTTTATTTTTATGCAGATGGATGGTTCCTCTCAGGCAGATGTACTCCAATTTTGAAGGAAATACCCTCAAGCATTGTAGGGAAAGTGGGTCTAATCTTTCTTCACTCTCCACAAAATTAGGCTCTGCCAAAAAAAACACACAATAAAATCTACACTTAAAGTGAATACTTCTTACTTACACAGTTCAAATGCTCTTGAGGCCTAGATTAGATTAACCAAGTACCTTCAAGTCCATAATTCAACTTCTTTCTACAAATTACTGCTGCTGTGAATGGAAAAAAAAATATACATACATACAACCACATACCTTATGAACATCAAGACAGGAATCGATGAACTTCTTCAAATCTCCATACAGGTCTTCGTACAGACTGGGGTCATCATCACTGTACAAAATCAAGATCAGGCAATGAATGAATCACACATTAATTTCCTAGTGCCTTTCATATAAATATAGCCTTTTATTACACCCTTTATCTTTAGCGATGTTAACCATTTAAACCCAGGAGAAGCTGCAAAACTGACACTTCTAGTTGGGTACAACTGCTCATAAATATCATTTTCTGCTACCTGTCTTTACTGTTTATGTTGTGGACTCAAGTCAAGTGGAGGTAAAGTTTCGCCCTTTAAGATGATGCCGCCCTGGAAGTATACCAATGGATATCTGTGAGTATTAGATGGACAAAAGTTCTAGATGGACAGTAGTTATGTAATTCCTAATTCATCCTTATTGCAATAATATGTTCGCCAATAAAGAGACTGATGTGCTATTATAGAGATTACTTTTGACGTATTGTTGTGACACTGTTATCGCTGTTGGAGGACCGCAGTGACTATGTGTAACTGTGTTTTCTAAGCACTCCTTCCGGTAGGGAATCCAATTAGTCATCAGACAGTCGACATGGAGACTTTCGTATATAAACGGGTGAAGCATAATGATTTCACCCCTAGACACTTCGCCAGAAGTGCGGCCTATACCTCCTGACCACATTCAACACACTGTTCAGTCCATTACAGTTCATAAGCGGAATTTTACAAAAATCCCCGGTGTTCATGTTTTTGTGCAATATTCTCAGCGTGCGACTAAGTCACTCTGTCAAGACAGATCAAGCCATATTGGATCAAACCTGGTGCAATGAAACCAATCCTCTCAACATGACATGACAAAATCTAGCTAACCTCTTATAGACGGCAGCTAAGGCTTGGGTCACTTCAGTTTTCTTATCCTCATTTGTCCTCAGGTCATCATCTGAGATCCTAGCCTCCTGTTTTAATAGTGATTCTGTCCCCTGTAACGAAAGAGCAATTAATAATTTTTTTTTTCACATTATGAATGGCCGTTAATAAAGGTGAATTTCTGATCAATCACAAGATATCATTTTAAAACACTGGCACGGGATAGCACACACAGTGTAAAAAACTGGTAAAATAACATTTCCAAGGCGGAAAGCCCTAAAGCTCTTTCAGTTCCATGCAACGTATAATGCCTATAGACTTTTCAAAATGAATCAAGCGACTGAAATGCGCTCACCCCCTACTTTGCTATGGCTCACAGCACACTAAAGAAATCTGGCTTCCGTACTGACCACTTCCACTGCATAATTTGCCTATTTGAAAGCTATAGATGCATGACTTTTCACAGTGGTAATTTATTGCCTTGGACATTTGCTGCAAACAATATGGGTAGAGGACCAGATCAGCTATGTAATTCACTTTAGCCTAAGTTTAAAACTAGAAATGTCTTGTTGCCATACTCATTTAAAATATGGTTAAAAAAAACATGTGTGCAGGGGGTGTTTGTTTACTTTAACATTTCCTATTATTACTGATAATTCAGCACAATTTTTGTTTTCTTAAAATGCATTTCACATCACCACATCTAATTTCTGTTACAGCTCAGGGTGTTGATTGATTCATGGACATCAAAGAAGAAAAGAAAATTCTACACGGTGAAGGATTTCAATTAACCCTTGGAGACGATTGAGTCGATTTGTCGGCCAAACGGCAAAATGGCTGGGGAAATCTATCGGCTTAATAATTTTTTTAAAATGCACGTGTAAAAAAATATTTAAAATTAAAAGCTAATTTGAATAAATGTATATTGTATATATATATATATATATATATATATATATATATATATATATATATATATATATATATATATATATATATATATATATATATATATATATATATATATATATATATATATCTTTTTTTGCATTCACCAGCTGTAAACTTTGGCAGAGAGTTCAGGCTGTTCATCCACTTCTGGACTGCAGTCGTGTTCCAGAACCTGAGTGTTGCGGGTGCATCCGTTTTACAGATCTGACTTATTTGTATGGTTCCTTGCCTCTCAGACAGATGCACTCCGACTTTGAAGGAAGCTTCAATTAGTTGACTCTTACGACATGCTTTTGGATAGGCAGTGGGTCAATTCTTGTTTTTTCCCACAATAGGGCCCCCAGAACCCACTCGGGGAATATATATATATATATATATATATATATATATATATATATATATATATATATATATATACGCTCTCCTCTAAATGATGGGTCAGAATGATCACTTTTAAAAAATACCCTCTAACAGGGAATCTATGGGTAATCAAATTGAAATATTTAAAAAGTGGGAACACAAATATAAAGATAAGGAACAATTAGACATACTCACAAATAACATTTAAACAGTTATATGTGGGAATAGTGGCACAGAAGCTGTAAAAAATGTCTTAAAATGTGTTTGTGACTGGCACCACTGAAACTGTGCTAAATATGTAGTAAGCAACGCGCCACTAGTGCGGTCTTGGTAACGTAGCTTCCGTTTTAGTTGCATCCATAACCCTTTAATTGTTTGGGTGTGAATTTCAATGTGTACGCTGTCAAAATGCCATGGTTTAATTGAGCAATGTCGCTATAGTCTTGCCAAACATCGGTGACAATTGTCGTTCCTGGTAACAGATGAGCAGTTATAATGTGTTCCAATGTTGCCGCATCTCGCCTTCGGACAATTTCAAACCAGCAGCGACCAGTATCGAGCTCTACTAACCCAACAATCCACTGATTGTCAACAATAGTGTCCCAGCTTGTCAGTCTTTCGAAAAACATGACATGTTTCCAAATTACATCGTACAGCTAGTAAAACATCATCATCACAATTTTGTCAGTGGGGATTTCTCAAAGAACAAACCTGTCCGTACACTGTGAGGATTGCGACAGTAACGACACTGCTCAGAGAATCCTACAGAAGATTCCACCTGCGCAACTAACAACATAGGAGGATTGCAAGCAGAACAGTCCTCTGCATCCTTTATTATTCTATGTGTAGCCAGCCATTGCAACCATATGCATTACTACATATAAGTACCCAAAAAAATACCCTCTAACAGGGAATCTATGGGTAATCAAATTGAAATATTTAAAAAGTGGGAACACAAATATAAAGATAAGGAACAATTAGACATACTCACAAATAACATTTAAACAGTTATATGTGGGAATAGTGGCACAGAAGCTGTAAAAAATGTCTTAAAATGTGTTTGTGACTGGCACCACTGAAACTGTGCCAAATATGTAGGAAGCAACGCGCCACTAGTGCCGTCTTGGTAACGTAGCTTCCGTTTTAGTTGCATCCATAACCCTTTAATTGTTTGGGTGTGAATTTCAATGTGTACGCTGTCAAAATGCCATGGTTTAATTGAGCAATGTCGCTATAGTCTTGCCAAACATCGGTGACAATTGTCGTTCCTGGTAACAGATGAGCAGTTATAATGTGTTCCAATGTTGCCGCATCTCGCCTTCGGACAATTTCAAACCAGCAGCGACCAGTATCGAGCTCTACTAACCCAACAATCCACTGATTGTCAACAATAGTGTCCCAGCTTGTCAGTCTTTCGAAAAACATGACATGTTTCCAAATTACATCGTACAGCTAGTAAAACATCATCATCACAATTTTGTCAGTGGGGATTTATCAAAGAACAAACCTGTCCGTATACTGTGAGGATTGCGACAGTAACGACACTGCTCAGAGAATCCTACAGAAGATTCCACCTGTGCAACTAACAACATAGGAGGATTGCAAGCAGAACAGTCCTCTGCATCCTTTATTATTCTATGTGTAGCCAGCCATTGCAACCATATGCATTACTACATATAAGTAGGCAGGTCTGACATCTACAGCTGCGCATTCTTGAATCGACAGAACAGAATCCCTTAAGTGTGTCGGAGCTGATAGTCTGCTGCTGCTGCCTGCCATACCAGTATTCGTATATTCATGACGGAAATTAATTCTACTTTTACCGCCCTCCTCTGGTGTGTTTGCCGGAAAGAAATCCTAATTTTACACACCTATGAGGCCCTGTTTGGGTGCATTTTTAAATGCGATCACTGAGACCCATTATAAAGAGGAGAACCTATGTATACACTATATATATATTTTTGTATGTTAATTAACTCTTTGAGTCCAAGGAGACGCATCACACGCTAATTTGTTACAACCTTGCAACAAGTGAAGGTTTTTAATCTACCACTGACCGGTTATAAAGCGCGGACCGCTCAATTTCAACTTCCTTTCAAGTTCTTATGTCTAATATCAAGGGGTGCTCATTTAGAAATGTGGTTTGAAAGTTAAAAAAAATAGTATTTTTTGCAAGTTTTGCTGAGTTATTAAGTGTTTGTTTGAAAGAATATGGCCGCCAAGCAATATTCTACATGCATGCCAACATGATATACAGCTTTAGAAACCTCAGATTTAAATTAAGTATGCGTTTATTCGATTTATCTGAAGTTAGATAGATAACGTTGCAAATTAGACGAGTTTCAGTTAGAGTCAAACTTTGATGAGGGATATTTCTAATGTGTACCTCGCGAGAAGGGTACAATGACAGCAAAGTCAGCTGGCACAAACAAAATAAACATAAATGAAAAGAAAATTTTCTTCAATGTCAGTTCTAGTGCTATTCCCCTTATTATTTAGGAACATAGCTATAAATTACAGGCAAATTGAGTGTTAAATAAACTTTGTTTTCTGTGAAGATACTTATTGTTTTCTTTATCAAATAATGGTGCTCTGTTATGATGCTTTAAAAGATTTTTTGGAACAAAATATAATGTATAGAGTTTATATTTTACTTAAACAGTATTAAGTGGTTCAAATTCATTTGTGATTCACTTTGGATATATTTTAACCAGTTTTCCTTAAGTGCCATGGTGGTAAGTGAAACAATTTTTTATTTCAGTATTTACTCATTTTTGTAAACATACTGTCTGTTTATTTACTAATATTTAATTACTAACACAATTATTTGTTGCAGCTATATTCTATAATTATTCCTCAACAATCCCTGGTCACTTTGACGTATAATATGTGTATGTTGCGCGGCAATTGAATTAGTCTGGCCTGTTTTAATGTGTTACACTTGTTAAAAAAAAAAATTGCATTACCTTACCACTCCTTGGGCATCTGAAGATAAAGCCAATGGGACTCAATGAGTTAAAAGCTTTATTTTTTATAATGTTTTGTGTGTAAAATAAGAGAGTCCTTTGCTGAAGGCACCGTCTACAAAGGGTTAAATACACACTACAGTACGGTACAGACACCACAACACCTATTAATTATTATTTTTAAAACAACAAAGAACCCTTACTTTTAGTAGGCAAGTAGCCTAAGTTTAGTAAGGATATCACTAAAATTAAAATATTGGCTTGTTCCCCAAAATGGCGGCATGCCATATGTTGGCCATAAAATATCCGAACGACGGTGTTTTCATATATCTAAAATACGGACTGTCTGCCAAGGGACAAATAATCGCGGCAACACTAGGATTATGTGACAGTCACTATCAACATTGCACACGGTACTAGTACCAGACGATAAATACTGACCGTTGACAAAAATTTCGAGCGTTTCTGCAGACGACGATACTAGCAGACGATATTAGCGACCCTTGACCAATTTCGAGACATTACAGACGATGAAAGCGATTAGCAATACTGTGTTCTTCCGTTTGGAGGATTTAGTAGCGGTAGATGTCAGACTTGTCGGCATGCGCCAAACGCGATTAAACTCATCGCCGAGCTTATCTAGGTGCCTGGGACTCACGAGTACAGTAATTGGAGGAAGTTGCAGGAGATGCGGTAGCTGCCACTCGTGAGTCCCAGCCATCTAGTTTAGCCCCCATCCGCGCTGCGCGTAGCGGCGTGGAAGATACGCTCGGGCTCACTCGCAGAAGCAGGTCGGCAAGCACTGTATCGCCGAGACCCTGTCAGAGCATTTGTTTCGTTATCTGGAGCAGGCAAATATATTTTTAATAGAACTGACCCGCATTCGGGTATTTTTGGATATTTAATGGCAAGAAATTGGCTAATTTAGCTCTCTTTCGAACACCATCATATTAAAGCCGCCATTTTGGGTGACAAGTCAAAGGAGCGCCAAAATATTTAATATTTTAGTCAAAACGTGCAGACCTCCTGATCTGTCTGTACTTTACGTGATATACCGTCACAGCATACAATGAGATGTAATGCAATTAAACTAATATCTGTTTTTCTAATTGACGTACAGACTTAGACTAGAACTAGAACGATTAATTTAACTTAACGGCACTTCTTTTTGCCAGCTGTAAACAACATAAAATTGTTGACTACTTTGCCCAACCCTTTTTTTTTCACATCCCTACCGTAACGGTACTGACCTGTTTTTAAATCTTCGAATGCATTTACATAGTTTACCTTCAAGTTATGTTTCTTTAGAAACTGCAGAACAGCTAGCAAAGTCTGTTTATCAGATTTCAAAGACATATCGTCGGGTTCTGTTTTGACCACAGCGGTGGACTCATACCCGTACTTGGACGCCATCTTGTAATAGTCGACTGTGAAAATACGAACCGGAATTCAGGGTTGCCAGATAAAAAACGTCATTTTATGCCAAACCATCACCCAAAATATGCCAGAAAATTGCCAAATGAAGTGTAACATTGTACTCACTTCACATCAAAAGCTCTAGATTGAATTCTTCACTGTCATCCTCACTGGAACCAGTGGAAGATGCAGCATAAACCTTTTCGGATGTAAAATCTTAAGGCATTTCTTCAGATGGAATGAAGTCTTTGCAATATTTCTTTGTTATCAATAGTTCTGCTCTAATTCTGACAACTGCATCCAGTTGTATTTTGTTTCTTGCTTTGATTTAATTGAAGTAACAAGAGAGAATATTCTCTCTTTGTGCATTGCTAACGGGCATTATTAGGCAAATAAGGGCGAAAGTGGCCACATCTTTAAATGCCTGGTGTCGAAGTACGCTTATCCAAAAATCTTCCCTGTTTGTAGGTAGTCCATCCTTCTTAAAGGTAGCTTCTTCTTTCCACTTGACAACAATCAGTTTTCTGTACTCTTCTTCTATACTGATGTTGTTTTCTGCCGGGTGTAAAAATGGTAGCTCTGAAAACTCTATCCTTGATATTTGATTTAAAACTGCCAAAGGGCTCAATTTTGACAGATTTTGAAATATATTCTCGGTGGGAAGACTACACGTAATTTGATTTGAGTTTTCCTCTAGCACAGACACGCATCTTTCATTAACATTGTTTATTTCTATCTAAACTTCAGTCCCGTTATTCTTCTGTAGGAACGCATTACATTCCGTTAGGAATTTAATACCAAAGTCAACATGATGAATATTTTTCTTCTGCTCAGTGACGTCATACAGTCTGTTCTTAAGACTTTTCTGGTGCATGGACAATTCTTGGTGTAGTTCATGAGGATCAGCTTTTATTTCTTGAAAAAGACTGTTCAGTCTGTCAAATTTTTGTACAATCGGTGTCGCAAACACAAACTACAAATAATTATTATGGTTTAACAGCATTTCCTTTAACAATATTACTTTATATTTTGTGTTAAACGTTGTCTGTGCTAATTCAGCACATGTGAAATGAGCTTTCAATTCTTTCCAGTTCACCAACATATTGAACATAATCTTTCCACGCACAAGCCACCTAATAGGTGACAGTTTCTCAAATGGAAGAGGAGCAGTTCGCCCTGATTCAAACTCTATAGATGTGTTTATCACTCTAAACAGTTCTTTATAGACTTCTCATCTTAAATCACTATGACAAAACCACTGAGGTATTTCTGACAGTAAGAAACCAATATTTGATGGCAGCTTGGCAATTGCATTACAAATGCAGAGTGCTAGTGAATGGCAGATACATCTGAGCTGTACACAAAAAGGAGACACATCTTTAATCCCGGACCATACAGAGTTCTTACACCCGACCATGTTTGAAGCGCCATCTGACGCAAACGCAATGCAATTTGTAAGACTCTGACATACCTTTTGATTTCCTTATCAATCAAATTAAATAAGTTTTCTCCTGTAGCCACTTGCAAGGAAATTAAAGCAAGAAATCCAGTAAATATTTCATTTTTTCTGTCGCTGAAAAAACTAACTATAATGCACAAGTACTTTGGAGTGGAAATGTCAGTCGACTCATCTATAATGATGGCATATTTCTTGTTCCGAATATCCTCAATAAGGTCATCCTTAAGTGCAGGCAATATGATATTTCTTATTGAGCATAAACATTGAGTTCTATGCAACTGTATGTGCTCCAGTGTACTTCCCTGACCATGTGCTCTCATGATTTCACTTAAATGATCAATTGTGCGTATTGCACAATGGCAGGTCATGCTTACAGCAAGTTGCAACTCTGCTGCTTTAACTTTACCATTACTTTGCCTAGAAGTTATTGTTGTAATAAGCTGTGACTGGCTTTTTGACGGAGTTTTTTTTTTTTTTTTTTTTTTCATCCTGTGTTTTTCGGATTTTTCATGATTTGAAATGCTAGTAATTCTTGGTGCAACAGTGCACTGACACAGTTCACAATGCGATGCCTCTGATCCGTCTGAAGATCTTTTGAGTCATGAGTATGTTTTCTTCCAATTACTATTATTCTTGCGATTGCTGTCATAAAATGCTTTCCAATTTCCATTTTTTGGATGACGTGGCCATTGGTAAAAGTAATAAAATCTATCACAGATAGAACTAGGTCTATATCCAATCTATTTTCTGTCATTATCTTATGCCAGTTCAATTTCAAATATGCCAGATTTGTGGAATCTGGCATAAAATATGCCAATATGGCAACCAGTGTTGCCACTTTTCTTTTAAAAAAATATCCAAAACGGTGTCAAAAAATATCTTAAAAGATCTAAATCTGCGTGGAAAAGATCTAGAAAAAACATCCCAATTGAAAAAGTCAAAAATTACAAGAGCTTTTATTATGACTTACCCTACATAATTATGTCATCACCTTCACTGATGTCTGCCTCACAAGATCCACAGGATAACCTTAGCTTGGATAATGAAGTTGAAGCTTCAGACCCAAAATGACCCTGGTATGCTTTAGCTGTTCAAATTTCTTTATAAGTGGAACAGTAGGCTTATTTTTCTAGTCTCATCAGGCCGAATTTTAATGGCACAATAGCATTTAAGAGGTCAAATTTCATCCTGTTTTTTAGGTTAGATTTGATATAATTCCTAGCACTGAAAACTCTTTCTACGTCAGCATTTGAGTGGGGTAGTATCATGACAGACATGGCTTTTTAAAGAGCTTACAGAATGGACTGTTTGATGAGGCATCTTTAAATTGTCTCACTTCACTCCAAAACGCTTTAGTTTCTGTTTTGTTTGTCCATTCAGCTAACTTTATTTTGGTTAACTGATATTCTGCTTCCGCGAAACTATTATTGGTAGCCCCTAAAAATTTCATAACTTTACAATATTTTGTCCTTTATTGGCTGAAGTATGTTGCTCACAGAAAAAAGTGAAATATTTTTCAAAACATCTAGATTTTCAGGAAGTCTCTGCTTCAATTGCTTCAATAATGAGATAAGAAAATCTTGACAGCGTTTTCTTAAGTTGTTCTCTTCATTCTTTGTTAACAGTCCTTTTGTTTTTAAATCATCAATTTTTGATTCGATTTAATATCCAAGGTGTGGCTTAGGAGCCAAATAGCTCTCTATAGTGCAAGTAAGCAAATCAGCTTTAGAAGTTGGCAACACCAGTCTTTTACCGAGTGAAATAGCAAGGTGAGATCATCAAGTAATTTAACTTTATCAACAAGTTTAGATTCGAACAGTTTATTAACTTTTTGCACTTCTATTAGAATAGGTTATAAAAAGAGAATGAATGACACATTTTTATCATCACTGTACATTCATTCCATTTAGCATTTCAGCTGTGTGGCACTTTTCACTTTGTCTTGTTATTTCAAAGTGTGTCTTCAACTTCAGCCATTGCTTCATAATTCTTTTAACAGCTGGTTAAATTGATAACCATCTAGTTTTGCAATCTGCCAGAATTTTCGGTGGTGTGGAACCATCGTTCAAGGCTGTATATAATGTATTATATTGCTGTTGTCTGACAAATGATTAGGAAAACCAGTAAAGTGTTTCAGCAATAAGATATTCAAATTCCTTGGTAAGTATTTAGATGAAGCATGTGATAATGCTAGCTGCAATGAAGGACGCATACATTTTATAAGTATTAACGATGGGTTAGCTTCCTTCAACTTGACATAAACGCCATTGTTTATACCAATAATCACTGAGGCATTATCAGTACCAATTACAGCCAAATTCTTCAAGCCTAACTGTTCGCTAATTAAAAGGTCCTTCAGTTCCTAAACTATACTTTCTACACCCCACTTTTCAAATTGAACTAGTCCAAGATTTTTTACAAATCGATCAAATGGTCACATTTTGAAATTGTTCAGTGACAAATTAAAAACATTGCGACTGCTACTTCAACTTTTGATGATTCATTTATCAGTATAGTTCTGAAAACAGACGTCAGCGGTGTAATATCTTTAAATGAAACTGCAGTTTTATGCTTTTTTAGTCTCTGCATGACTCTTTGAGTTTTGTATTTTCGCTTTAATTTCAAACTTGCAGTACTTACAACAAGCTTTGGTCATATCACCAGTTTTTAATTTTGTCATCATGCAACCATTCTTTCAAAATTTTTTGGTCATACTTTACTTTTGGCATGTTGAAAGGTTTTTTCAAAGTGAAATAAGAAGGTGAGCAAATATTTTTTTAAATCACATGAAAAAGAAACGCAAAGTCAGCACAGTGAGGATACGGTTGAAACAAAGTTAGTATAATTTACTCGCGTTTTTACCGGGGCTGCCAGATATTTGTGTGTTGACCCCAGTGAGAGTTCGAAGTTCAAGTAATGGCAGTTGTCACAATGTACGTGCCAGACCAAAACAAAAATATTGTAGTAAATATTTTATACAGTAATTATTAAATTGACAATGAAAGAAAAAAAAATCTATAAAATATCTAACTCCATATGAAAAGCTTCTAGAAAAATATTGACGATCTAAACGTCAAAAACAGTATCTAAATGCAATGAAAAAGATCTAAATTTGGATTTAAAAGATCCAAAGTGGCAACACTGATGGCAACCCTGACCGGAATCAGGGTAACATGTAAAATTGAGACGGAAAGGAAACAAGTACGAAAACATAATTTATTTGAATGTCGGAAACATAATAGTGTTTAGTGATGGCTAGATAAGATAGCAAATAGTGTGGTTCTTGATAGGGCAAACTTAGATAATTATCAGCTGCATTAGGCTGGTCACCTAACCCGCATGCCAGAATATCGCTTCTCAAAGAAAGTATTTTATGGCGAGCTCAAGCAAGGGTAAAAGTCCCAAGGAGGACAGAAAGCGCGAAACTACTATAAGGACACTCTTAAGACTGCTCGTAATTCTTTTGGCATCAACACAGCGACGTGGGAGACTGTTGCACAAGATTTTCTGGATGACGTACATCTCTCATCTTTCTGCC